CTTTGAGAGACAGATTAAAAGAAAAAATTAAATATATAGGTAGCCATCCTGTGTTTTTTGTTTTTCAAAATTTGTAAATATCACAATAAACGATCTTAAAAAATATGGTAAAGCTAGGCACATATTTTTAATAAACAGAAAATAATTGGAATGATTCAATTCATCGTATATACATAAATACTAATTTTATCACAGCATTATTAGAATTTTTAAAATAAACTAAATCAGCGATTCTTCTTTTTATTATTATACCGCTTGTCCCACAAAAGAGCCGTAGAATAGCTTATTTAATGTATTCGATATTGGGACGTACTGTGTATATATATATTTTAAGTAATAAAGTAATAAAATAAAAACAAGGAATTAATTATAATATTCTGAAAATATAAAAGAATGAAACAACTGTTAGTAGATTAAACGGTAATGTAAAATTAATTACACTGAAAGGCAAAGTGTCGTTCCTTTTTTTAGTACACCTCTAAATGTATAGTGTTTGTTGGCAATATTGATATTTAGAAGATTCGGCATGTTTATAAAATATCCATAGATATTTGATGGGATACGTCAATATCTGTACATATCTTTGTACAGCTTTAATTTCATGAAAAAAAGCTTCAAAATATTTCAAGATAAGGCTGAATACTGATTGGTTATAATTACATTTTATTCTGCTTTAAACATATTTAGAAACTATTTTTAGGATCGAATTAACAATTTTGCATTATTGTCTTCATTAAACATAACCTCAAAATCATTTGCTTTTAACAAACCGAACAACTAGTCACCGAACAACCCGAAGGTGCACTCCGATAAATTTACATTGGTAGCTGTCAGATAAATTCGGTGACCTTGCGCCATTTTTTTCAAATTTTTCAAAATCAAATTATTAACGAAACAAATAATGTTATCTATCTGACAATAACAAACAGAAAATGATTTGACAACGACGAAACTGAAAACTAAAACATGGCCGCTGACAATGCGCAAACCAGATGCGCGAACAATTCCCGCCGAGTCGAGTACCCCTTCGGGTTGTCGGTGTCTAAGTGCCTAACCCCCTCCAAACGGTTTAAATAAATTCCAACGGATTGAGCTGTGCGCAAGTCCCAGAGGAAGTGCTAGTTGATCTATGTGCCAGATGTTAACCAACTATTTTGTTGATGAACATCAGTGCGTTTCTCTACGGTTAGTAATTGTTTACATGTTTAAAAGATGTCTATTTCTACAGATATTCATAGTAGTAGAGTCTTTTGTGATGAATCTGAAATTAGTATGAACTTCAGGAAGAAACAGAAAACCGTCAGATTAAGTGGTAAATCCTATGTTACTCTAAACAAAAAGAAAGAAATCCCAGCAAAGCCACTACCGTGTGAAGAGGTTAGTATAATATTTATTTACAAAATTTTATAATTTAGGTCACTCTGCTGTTTATCTACATGTGTGATTGTTGATGACAAGTTTATTTATCTTAACAGTTTTCTATTAGAATCTAATGAATAGGTTTTGGTTATCGGTATCACTATTCGTTCCACATTTTACACATTATCATGTGAAACATATACCCTAACTCATTTCTTTTTTTTTTCAGGTTATTTGTAAGTGTAAAAACAGATGCAATCAAATTTCATTTCAAATGAAGGGGAAACAGTTTAAATCCTACCACCAACTTGGATTGAATGAGCAAGGTTCTTATTTAATGGGTTTGATAGACATTCTTCCTATTACCAGACGGCGACACAGTTCTTACGATGAGCCAGAAAGCAGCCGCAGGCAAAGCACTCTAAGTTACAGGAAGGGGAGTTCCTTAAAGTATATAAAAAAACTTTTTTAAATATTTTTGGAGTTTCACCTCAAAAAATCTCACTTATTGTGAAGAAGAAAAGTGGTGGTTTTTAACAACGTCCAGACAACTGGAATGACAACTGATGACAGATGACAGCTTTTAATCCATTCAAATTTAACATTGACGTCATTACAACTGTGATTCAATAAAATGTAAAGTGTAATTTCTATGCGTTAGTAAAATTGTAACATTTATGCCTTATATTGACTGTTCTGAATTTGACATACAACGATATTTATTTTACTTTTACCATAAATCGTGAAATTTGTAGTTACATTAAATTATTAAGACTATTTTGCTGAAACTGAATATATCAGTTTACGATAAAACCAACTTGTAGTACTTGAAAATTGAGGACGACAAATTAAAATTGCCTTTCAGTGTTATTTTTGGTTAAGTGTTATTCGACACTGTCTATCACTATTTTATGTATGATGGTTGTTTCGAGTAAACTGCATGAAAATTCATGATGAGCAATATATATTTAACAATTCACGTTTTATATAATTTTAACAAGAAAAGAGATCGTGGAGTTAAAAGTCTATTCATAAGAAAATATCCAATAGCTCCAAATAGGTTTTTACTTAGACCTGTAGGGAAAACTTGACAATGTGTATGTTATATAAAGTAAGTGCTGCGTGTACGATAACTAGTCTCTGATACATCAAACATATTTAACAAATTTAAAATGGCGCAGTCGATAGATATTTGCAAAATTTAATACTGATTAAATTAAATGAGACTATGCCATTTTAAGAGTAAATTAGGCTAATATCATTCATTATATAATAGAAGTGTAAATAAATCAAGTTATTTGTTTAAATGGACAGTAATTAATGTAGTTACGCAAAAGAAAACCTGCCGATGTCGGATCTTGAAAATAGAATAACATCCCGTCAAATGAGCTACTTTTTTATTTTGCACTATCATCTTTTTACAGTAAACTGCGTAATAGAACAGATGCTTTTTTATGTCTGCTGTATCAGAAATATTACCAGTTGTTTCGTTAAACTTTTATGTTCTTTATTATTCCCCCGTCTTTCACTTTTAGATAAAGTAAAAGTATTACCACTATAGAGTGTCTAAAATCTACCTCGAACTATTTTTTGAACCATAACATTTAATTTATTTAACTGAAAAAGTTCACATTATTGAAATGTTGATCCATAAAGCTTCGGCAATTGAACTGAAGAACCTGTACAAGATTTTTATATTTCAGTAACGTTAACGTTCACAATGAAAAACGGGCGCCATTTTGTACAATTATTTTAAATTTAAACACATGGCAAGTAAGTTTCAAAACTTTCGTCTCTTACTATGTTCCTATATTTTTGTTACATTCTGTCAAGGTGTATTAAAATGGAGGCAGTTAAATGGCGAAACTGTAGAAAAAAATGTAGACTGCCCGTACTAATTTGTTAGTAGGTAACATTTTAGAAAACACTTGAAAAGGTCTATTTGTGAGGTTTGTCTTTTTAGTTTTGCATACAGTGGCTTAGAAGGAACCCCAATAAGACCTTCCGACATAAATGTAACCTCAACATTTTGTTGCCATCGAGAGTTTCATTGCTATACAACAATACAGTGAATTTTTGAAATAAGCAGGTCGGTCGAAAAATGGATCTTAGCCAAGAACATTTTTGAGCAATAATTTAAAAATTTTCGAAGAAGATTGTCCCAACAGCAATATCTCGCTGAAATGGTTTCTGTGTTTAGTCATGAAGTGTCACACCAGTCAACTATTTTCCGCTGGTATTGCGAATTTCAACGTGATCGCTTCAGTCTCAGCGATGGATCCAGGCCAGGCCGAATACATGGAAGACTATACAAAAAAATAGAAGATGAAAAAATAGATGACACCCAGTTTGAAGTCAGGGGAGGACTAGAAACGAGAGAGGCTCTGTTCGCTTTTAACGTTCTCGTGCAAAAACGACTAGATATGAACCAGGATCTCTATGTCTGCTTTATAGATTATCAAAAGGCTTTTGATATAGTACGACATCAGAAACTCGTAAAACTGTTAAAAGAAAAGAATGTGAATAGTCGGGATATACGGGTAATTGTTAATCTATAATGGAATCAAAAAGAAAAGGTTAGAATCGAAAATGCCACAGAAAATATAGAAATCAAAAGAGGTGTTAGACAGGGTTGCGTGCTGTCCCCATTGTTATTCAATGTGTACAGCGAAGCTATTTTTAAAGAAGCAATATCATAGGAACAACAAGGTATATCAATACACGGAAAAATCTTGAACAACATAAGATTCGCAGACGACACCGCTGTTTTTGCAGACAGTCTAGAAGCACTGCAACGCTTAGTAAAGATTACATCAAGTCCGAGATATCGGGGGAAAACAATTAGAACGAGTGAATAGAAAAAGATCTTTTCAAAGCAGCTTTTCAGAGCAGATAGGAGAAGGAACTACAAGAAGAACTTAAACCATACACCGTATTGTCCTTACCTAAGTCCCAACGACTTCGTCGCGTTTCCAAAGATCAGGAATTCAATGCATGGGCAGCGATTCCAGTCGCCGGAAGAAGCCATCGATGCCTTTAAAACAGCGATTTTGCAGGTGTTAACTGAAGACAATTTTACCAATTGGTTTGAATGTATGCAAAAGTGTATCGATCTTGGTGGGACATATAGTACTTTAAGTCTATATACTTTTTGCCTTTATAGCTACATGCAAAACTAAAAAGACGACACTGGTATTTTCTAGTTTTCCTTATATTTCGTATTTCCTCATATTTTCCTTTTACATTGTTGTTATCGTTGTCGTTTTGAAATTTCTCTGCAGAATTGTACAATATTCTAGGACTCGGTGACACAATAGTTTTTAAATGCAATGAATATGAGCTGCCATATGATTCTATTCAAAATAATTTTACAAAATGGCATCCGTCTGCCATTAGATCACTAAATCATAAAAGCAATGTATAAGCGCTTCAGTTAAGGCATCCAGATTAATGTAACGAAAAATTAAAGTTTTATGGTTCACAAAATATTTGGAAAAGGGACCTTCATGCACAGAAAAACGGTAGGTTATTGTCGTAAACTATAGGAATCAGACAAAATCAAGAGAAAATACAGAGAGATATGGATATGGAAAAAAAACAGACCCAATTATGTATTATAAACACAACTAGCTGTCAGAATAATAAATCGCATTACTTTATTATTTATTTGAGTCCTAGATCGCTATATACGTTTTTTTTTTAACGTCAACAAAGTAAAAAAGTATCGAAACAACTAGTAAACCTTAGAATTTTGGACATTTTATTAAAATTTTACCGGTAGGATTATAGTATTTTTCAAGAAACGGTTAATCAAGCAATCTTTTATCAAGCAGAACTGAGTCTAGTAATGTACAACTATTAAAAAATGCAATGTTTTCAGACAAGACCCGACCAAGACGATGTTTTGTCACTTTTCTCCATACCACGGCATCACTATATGCATGTCTTAAAGTAGTGTTTAAAAATCCTAACTCTATACCTCTCATTCTTCATTTTTTAAAACTCGAATAGCACGAGAAGCTATTGAGATCGTAATACGTCCAGATTAAAACAACAAAAACGATAAGTGGATTAAGATACACAAAACATGGAGATCTGACGTAAATCTTTACAAAACCGTCTCTGCTAGTTTCGTCAAATTAATCCGCGTTACATATTCTTCCGCTATTGGCGCTAATGGATCAATGACCAGCAAAAAACAGCGAGCAATGTGCCCAATCATCATTATAACAACGATACCTCGAAAATCATCACTTGCCGTAAGTACTCCCGAGTGGGGATCAGTGAATGAGCGTCACTGTGTCGCGAGGTCCTATCTCATCACACCATTTACTCATCCATCGACTGACTCGATTCATTCGCAAATTTACAAAATATATTACTGCATTTTTCTATATATTAATATGGATAGTAGGAGGCTAAGCCAATGATTCTAGTAAACCACTCACTTTAAAGCGAATCTGTCAGTGAAACTAAGCTATTCAGCCAACAAGAACAAAGATTAAGTGTTGCAACAATTTTTACGTTTGCAATAAAACGCACACACGGCGTTGCTTCAACAGAGTGGAGAAGAAATATTAGATAGAGAGATAATAAGAACAAATAAATACTTTACTAGAGTGAGTTCTAATACAAAGGAACTAGCACGATTTGATTGGCGACTTAAATAGACAAGCCTGTCCCTCTATATTATGTTTAAAGTGATTGTCTCAGTATAGGTATATATATATATATATATATATATATATAATATATATATATATATATATATATATATATATATATTGCATATCTTGAAAGATACTATAATTTGACACATGAAAAAGTGAAAATTTCATTTCAAACTTCCCAACTGGCACAGCCATCAACACAAAAATCCGCAATAATATTCGATTACTATTCTAAGAAAAAATATACCCAATCACAGCACTGTGTACTCCTCGGGAGGGCTGGGGCTCCTTCCCACTTTCTTGAGATTAACTTTAGAAGATCCGGATAAATTTAGAGAGCATCTGCCGAAACTGGTTCTGTTCCCGAATCCCAAGCCACCTTTCCTGTTCAGACTATCTACCATATTTCTTACTATACTACCGGAAGATGCTGCGACTAAAAAAGGTTTTTTACTAACGTTTCCCGAGGAATCTTCTAAATTTAGGAAACCTGTTCGTCTTTGGAGGCTGGGAGTCAGTTTTGATAATAAGGAAGGTTTGTCGAGCACGTTCAAGGATTTGTCTTTACATTCTAGATTAAGGGAAGTTTTTTCTAATGACTCTATTCGGTCTGGAGACGCCGGATTATCAGAAATTAAGTTATCAGCTTTAGCGGGTGAACGTCTTTTCAAAATTGGAGTTCTTTTCAGAAAATTGGAGTTATCAGAGTCTTTAGTATACCTCCGGCGGCTTAAACTCGACCTAAACTCATGTCTTCTTTCAGGACTTGGGCTGGTCTCACTTATAGACCGCTGAAACGTTGGATTTTCTTTTAAATTTACATTTTTCAAGTTACTGACGAATTTTTCAGTAACCTGCGACGGTTGGCTAGTTTTCAAGCCAATGCTGTTCAAATTTAGATTAGAAACTTTGATATTGTGGTCAGCATCGAAACTTTTTAACTTGATCTTATCTTCTCTAGCTTGATTTTCCTTCATTTCCTTCACCAAGCGATTTCTGGTGAAGTTTTTCGGAATTTTCCGCAGGTGGGGAGATACGTTTTCTCTCAGATTATTATCGGTAGTAGGGCTGATAGTTTTATCACATTTTATGGGTTCGGATTCGAGTTTTTGTATGGCTATGTGTTTTTCATGGTCTCCCAAGTAGGCAACGTCGTTTTTGAGGAAATCTATGTTCTCGTAGTTTGGGAAATCCTTCTCCAAGTCGGACAGAATTAGGTTCTCTGGAGGTTTTGACAAGAAGTCCACGGTATCGCCTGAAAAGTAAGTGTTTCAATATTTATAAAGTACTATAAACAAGAAATAATAAGGTAATTGCATAGATTTGAGCAGATTTCATTAAGCATCTCAGCTAAAAGATGAAATCAAGCAGTGAATAATTTTTGTAGAAATCCATTACCTCTATCCTTTTAGATTTCACTTTAGGAAAACTAGCTTAATATGAGCGCTATTTAATGTGACGGAATGTAATCTGTCTTTGACTAAGTCTGTAGAGCTTGGTAAAGTAAACAAAACTGCTATTTAATTGATGGATTCGACCGTTACTTGATGGAAATTCATTTAATGTAACAATAAAACACTGAAAACTTTGTTTTCAAACTTCCACAACATTTATTTTAAATCTTATCTCTACAGCTGTTTCGGCTGATTGCCTTTCTCAAGTGATCTATTTTTGTCTTGGGTTTACAAATTTATAGTCTCTAATGAAATAGGTTGAGGAGGGGAGAACTGTTTGTCTCAAGTTGGTCATTCAGAATTATATCTGTGTTTTTTAATTTGTTGATTTCCATAGATTCTAACAAAGATAGCTTAAAGCCTTTATTTTGAATGTGAAGAATTTCAAATTTGTCATTAAAAGAATGATTATGATCTAGAAGGTGAAGTGCGTATGTCGAATCTGTTTTTCTATTCTTGAAAGTTCTTTTATGTTCTGCTATTCGTTTATCAATGTTTCTACCAGTTTGACCGATGTAAGTTTTTGGGCAGTCGCCACATTGAAGTTTGTACACACCACTATTTAAGTGTTTTTTATTTTGGCTCTTTTGGAGACAGAATTAAATATAATTAAGCAAATAGCAGTAAACAACGGATACAACGAACAAACAATTAATAAAATGTTAAATCAAAAACTACACAAGAAAGCCCTAAAATTAGTATTTCCACCACCAGAGAAAAAACCCAGTACCTTCTGCTCGATTATATATACAGGCAAAATAACAACAAAAATCGCCAAACACATAAAAAAGAAAGGAATAACACCAGCTTTCCGAACAAATAACAACCTAGTCAAATATATTAAAAATAACAAGAGCCAAAATAAAAAACACTTAAATAGTGGTGTGTACAAACTTCAATGTGGCGACTGCCCAAAAACTTACATCGGTCAAACTGGTAAAAACTTTGATAAACGAATAGCAGAACATAAAAGGGCTTTCAAGAATAGAAATAAATTTTGTGGAAGTTTGAAAACAAAGTTTTCAGTGTTTTATTGTTACAAAACTGCTATCTTAGATACATTTGGCAAAAAATGGAATGTTATCCTTTTAGATCTCACCGATTCAATTATTGATATACTAGGTCGATGATAAATGATTATGGAATTATTTTTAAGAGAACATATACATTGCTAGCTCGAACAAAGACTTGATCGAAATAGTGGTAAAAACAAACTGATAAAAACAGGAAGTATATATTACTTGTAAGTAAGATCTTTAAGATAGATGATAGGTACTTTTTAAACGAATGATCAGATAATTGAGATATTATGTTTAGAGGCAACAGGTCTATAACAAGGATCTCCCATACGAAATACCCTTTCAATTTTTTTTACCCTTTTTAGAGAGAAACTCTTAAAGAAACTAATAAAGCATTTTAACAATACTTACGAGATTTTTCTGCTAATCCTTCGCAACTAGACACTTTGATCACAGGCTTGATATTTTCCGCAGAGGACACTTTTATAATAGGCTTCAAGTTTTCGCTACTCTTATAGATCTTCTCCGAACTCTTACTTTTACTAGTACCATCTCCCAGTCTCACTTCACCACAGATTCTCTCGGAACTTCTACTCTTGTCAACGCCTTTACAATCGGAGAAAATTTTCTCGGAGCTCCTCTTCGTATTGGCCATTTTTCCTTCGCAGATGGGTTCTAGAGCAGGGCTGCGGTGGCCGGACGGTATGCCCTCGGGAGTGGTGCTTCCGGAAGAGCTAGGACTCAACCCTCGGTAATGCTGGATGTCGAAGAGGAGGTCGGGAGGCAGAGCCATGCCCACGGACAAATGCATCGAAAGAGATTCGAGCCACACCTCCATTACTTCGAAAGGCGGCCTGAAAGAAACCAAAATGTCAATGATAAGATAATTTTTAAACTTAAACCAAATGAATCAAAGAAATTGTTAAAATTCTTCTACTTCATGGAGATCTTTCGATCTGTTTAATTCTGAAGCTGCCTCTGGTTAATTTCCTGGGAGGTAGATTGCCAGGTGTCTGTGGGATTCTGTCATTCTGTGGATTAGATGCCAAGTGTGCCAAATATTCTGTAAAACGTCGTTCTCGCCGATGGCCACTTACTATTTTTTACCGCATCATTGATATAGCTGCTGTTAATTCGCATGTTGTATACCAATCACTACAAGAAGATAATATGGAAGGGCTAAACTACACAAAGGAGTTGGCGAAACAATTAGTTTTACCTCATCTACAAAGAAGACTCGAAAATCCCAGAATCCCGAGAGAATTATTATGTGGTATTGAACGAATACTAGGACAAAAACGCCAAAAAGAAGCAGATTTTGAAGAAAGGCTTGAGAAAAAGAAGACGTGTTACTTATGCCCAAGTGCATTAAAGCGAAAGACTTTTTATGTGTGCTTTTCTTGTGGAAAACCAGTATGCTTACAGTGTACAAAGAAAAATTGCGGACCTTGCGCGCAAAATGACTAGTTATTTTATTCTAATTTTTGGTTATTGTCAGAATTTTGTATTTTAGTTTCTCATTAAATTTAAATCATTAGTCTGTTTCTTTTAACATTATTTTACCATTTGTTGGTCAAAAGTAATCAATTTTTCTTGTAATTTAGTTTATAAACGATTTTGTAGTAACGTCCACCATTTTTTTAAATATTATGCATGCATTCTTAATATTCTTGAAAAAGTAAAGTTTATTTTACTTGTAGCAGTATAATATGCTACAGCAATGTTAAGAATCATTCCGTAGTTGATATAAAAAACAAATACACTGATATAAGATAAATTCGTATTAAAAACAAAGGAGAATAGGCAACGGTATGACATACCGCATGTCAGAGTCTACGTCCTGAAACATCCACGTCAGTAGTTAAGGGTTAAATATGGGGATTGTGATGCTCTTATGTCATTCCTCCGGTGTTTCTGTGTCGTTTAAGATTTTGTTAAATAGTTGTGACAGTTTACTTGCAAGTTTAGGGCCTCCATATTTTAAGAGTTCGTTGGGTATATCATATGTTCCAGGTGATTTTCTGTTTTTTAGCTTCTTGATCTTTTCTTCTACCTCTTCGACAGTAGCACTTATATCTATTTCGTATTCGTTTATATTCAGCGTTTCTTCAGCATCATATAGCTCTTTAAAATGCTCTTGCCATGTCTCTATAGGTACTCCCTTGTTCTACACGAATTGTTAAAATTAATAAAAACAATTCAGATGAAACAGAGTGTTCACTTAATTTACCATTTGGAGAACCATACAGTGTTGCCGGTGTGTTTCGTATAGACTAATCAACATTTACACTCTAAAACAAATATTCTTTAACTTACCTTTTATCGGGATTAATGTCCGTACTCAAAAATGCAATTTTGTAAAAAGGTTCAGGACAGGATGAACAAAATTTTTCCTTGAAGGCCATTTGGTTCAAACCGAAATCATTCGATCTCGGCATAAAGTCTGGATCGGCTTGGATTCTTCCTATAATCTACAAAAATAGCTATTAACTAACTCTTGTTTCATACGAACTTAATGATGAATGACTATAGTAACTTCCAAATTATAACGAAATTGAAAGCAGCTATTTTCTGTTTAACAACTTAAAAGAAGTGGATCTGAATTATGTTGCCAGCTTGCGTTGGAGTGATTGCTTGAAACACTACTAGTTTTATACAAGAGAAATATATTTAAGTTCAGGGAACAAAAACTCAATTGTCATTTGTAATTGAGGTTATGCCGCCAAAATTATTGTTTTCCCTTCGTTATTTTGTTTTCACTTCATATATTTGTATAAAAATCATTTCTTATCATAACTAAATTGTATGATTTCAAATATAAATTAAGTGCTAAGTATGAGCGAAAATTATCGTAGGATTATGTTTTTTTGACGAAAACAGTTTCTTTATTACATCTGTATTATCACATTACAGAAGACAGTCTGTATTGAATCTGGTGTATTTTCCAGTTTTTCATCGATAAATGAAATAAAAAGCTTACTACTGGGATGTGACACTGTAACATTTATATACCAAATAGCTGATTATCAATCTGGCTCGAAGGACCACGAATGAAATAGTATTATTCTGATATTTGAGAAGTTTCACAAAACAAATTGAAGTTTCTTCAACTTGACACATTGTCATAATTTTTTTAAATACTCACGACGGAGCGAGATAAGTCCATATTAGTAAGAGTATTAGCACAGATATGGAATAATCGCCACAGAGAGGCATCTACTAAAATCAGCAAAAAAGTAGTGGCAGCCTTAGCTCAGCGATTTTAATGAACGAATGTAAAACATCCAGAAATAAAAATATAACAGAATATAAACGTTTCAGCAGAGAAGTAAAAAGACAAAAAGAGAATTTTTAAAACAAATGCAACGAGATACTAGATTAACAAGAAAAGCATGACTACTTTAATCTGTGAACACTTAGAAGATACTAACGGATATCTAATATAAAGTTCCCAAAATAAATTAAAAGAATTCGTCTACGATCATGTTAGTTACTTAAAAATGGTAGATTCCCTGAAAGAGACTTACACTGACCTGGACGGAAAATATTTGATACTAATAAGAAAACTGTATTTTATCTGTATAAAGGGGTATAAGACGGATGCGTGTTGCCGCCCATACTGTTTAACTATATTCTGAGTTTATATTCAAAAAGCATTTGATATTGTGAGTTATATTGTCCATTTAAATATACTTGACAGATATTTTGGAAGTTTGAGAGTAGGTCCCCACTATTTAGAAGAGTTTGAGTTTGCTCTTGAGTTCCAGGGAAAGAGGGAGTAAACATTTTCTGCACCTTCCGTAAAAGAGGGAGTTTGAGAAGGATTATCATTTTTAAACGAAGACCACTAGTCGAAGACCACTGGAATCATGTCAAAAGCATTACGCAAGGAACAACTAAAAAGTAAATATTGATATTAAAAAGTATTAATAATCGCAAACAACAATGGATGACTGATGAAATATTGGGTCTAATGGAAAGCAGGCGAAAATAGAAAAATAAAAACACTGAAGAATACAATAAAATTCATAAGAAAATCACAGGGAAAATCCGGGATGCAAATGAAAAATGGTACAGCAACAAATGTCTTGAAATAGAAGAACTGCAGAAAAAGAATGACACGTTTAATATGTACAAAAAGGTAAAAGAAATAACTGAAACATATAGATCAACTGCAAATAGTTTACTTGATAAACAAGGAAATATTATCGTCAATGAACAAGACAGACTAGAGAGTTGGAAAGAATATATTAAGGAGCTGTTTGATGACGATAGAACAGAAATTCAAATCAAAAATATATCGACTGGTCCAAACATAACACTCGATGAAATGGAAAAAGCTATAAAGCTATCAAAGAATAGGAAAGCAACCTGTCCAGATGAAATTCCAAACGAAATAATCAAACTGCTCGACGATAAGGGCAAACATCTCTTTAGCCTCTTTAATCAAATATACGAAACCGGCTTTGTGCTTAACTTGATTTAATGATAGACATATCTAATTATTAATTAGTATTGTAATTATTATATATTATGTACACTTTAACATTACTTCAAATAAAAATCGATTTCATTTATTTTTTTAAAGTAAAATATTCCAAATTGCCACATCAGTATCAGTATATTTTTTTAAATACCGTAAATACTTTACCGGACATCGGAATCTGGTGCTATAGTTGCCAGAAATGGATTGCATTGTTTACTACAATATAGCAGTGTTAGATTCAAAGTCACAGAAACCGTTTATTTATAAATATGTTTACCAGACCCATAGGTCTGGTATCGTCCGAACAGTAGACAGTGTTACCAGATACGGGGATCTGGTAACGTCAGTAAATGTTACTGAAAAATTTAACGCCGTCGTGAACGTATTAAAACGAGAATTATCGTAAAAATTTAAACAAATGATTAAATGTTATTAATCGGATACCATTTATGACTTTTAAATTTTAACAATCGTTACAAATCGAATCTTTTAGTGACAGACATTCTTATAATTTTTTACTTCTTATTAAATGTCTGTATTTTATTAGTTATTTTTTCATGCAGTTTTTAATTTAATCCTGGTTAGAGTAAATATATGGTGACTAGAAACGAATTGATTGAGGTAGTGAATCGATGTAAAGAACCGCTCTATTGTGACGCTAATCGTGACGACACCATCTTGTGGCGCTAGTTACGTGACGCTCGCCTCAGAATTCTACTGTAGAGAAAAAAATTAATACAACGCCATTATAGAAGCTTCGCTTTAATATTCCATAAACTTACTTCACACAAAATAATTCCAAAACTAAAGATGTCGACCTTTTCGTCGTATTTGTTTCCTTTCATCATTTCTGGAGCCATCCAGTAAGGATTTCCTACCACCGTGTACCGTTTTTTTGCGTTCCTGTCGTTTACATCCCGTCGGATTCTTCGGAGACACCTTTCTCGTACTGTTCGTTGCATGTGAAATGATTCTGGCAAGACCGAAATCGGCTACAATCACAGTTTTGTCGTCTCTAACTAGACAGTTGTGAGAATTGAGATCTAAAAAAAAGATAGCGATAATTTATAGATAAACTAAAGGTTGTCTACCAGTTTTACATTACAAGGCTCATTTTATTTTGAATCATGCCCTCGTTCACTAACACAGCAACATTACTTTTAGACTGCATTTAAAAAGTTTTCGCTAAAGCGTAGCTCTAATCATGAACCTAGTCAGCTGCTCACTTTGAAGTGAGTCTTCCAGGTCGTTGAGCGATCGATGCCATCATCTAGTGTTATTTAGTTTATACAAATGTACAGTAAGCAGCATATACCTATGAAATGATAAAGTTTTTCCATTTTTTGTTCCTATACTTGGTTCATGATCAATGAAATTTGTATGTAACCTAAATTAAATCGAGAAATTTGTAAAATATTATTCTATTACCTCTATGAATAATATTCATGGAATGCAGATAGGCCATTCCGGAAGCTATATCTTTGGCGAAGGACACTCTTTGTTCCCATGGGAGAGGTTGGCAGGAATCGTGCAACAATTCTGTCAGGGTTCCTCCAGAAATGTACTCAGTCACTAAATGAAGACGTTTTTCTTTGTATAAGACGCCGATAAAACGAAGGACGTTGTTGTGGTTAAGACTTCTTAATACTGCAACCTATAACAATAGAATAAGATTATGGTTCCCTAAGATCATGGTGTAATGTCGCCCGCTATCGGCAACATCTAGTTTTAAAACTATTTGTACATTACCTCTTTAAGGAAATTCTTTTGAGCCTCTTCATCCACCCTGTACAACTCCTTCAGCACCATCACCTCCTCGGTATCTCTGGTAGTTACTTTGTACACTTGACCGAAGAACCCTTGTCCTAGAAGTTCTCCTTTAACCAAATCTGACGCTCGGAATACTCGCTGTTGAGGTCTAGGCTCCAAAAATGAGTAGGCACGTGACAATTCTAAACATCTTTTAGAATTTGGAGATCTAAAGATAGTATAAAATTAAATCGGTAAGTTTTAAGAGACAAACAAGTTATATATCTACACTTAAAAGGAACAGGAATTGGGAAATATGTGATCAAGAAAAGGCGAACACCTTTGCTGACTATCTAGCAGAAATCATCAACCCGCCAGATCACAATATAATATAACAATGATAAAAAATGTTCTGTGTATATCCATGATACTATGACTAACAAGATAGGATCTTCCCGTAGCACAAAATCGGTCGAGTTCGCGCATGCCGTCATTGGAGAGTAGAATTTGAATTCCTGTTAAAGATAAATGGGATTTGTATGCATTTTGTGATGAAATTTCTAGACGAAAATAAGTTAGGAGGTTTAATAATTACAATAATCGTACATATAGGGGTATCTCCAAACTATTTATTAAAGATTATTTATTGATACATACAAAAAACTGACATTTCGAACGTGCAACTCTCCAATGACGCCACGACTTATGCGCAATATCTTATCTTCTTAGTCATAGTATCATGTGTATATCGTCTCCCGTAAGTCTACCAATTAAATCATTCTCCCTATGAAAATCTAAAGAAAAAAAATAGACATCCTCGTCACCAAAAATGACATGATGATGTTAGAGTTTTATTGAACATTGTTGTAATAAGTTTTTATTTGTTATTATTTTTTGTAACTAAATTTCCAGTTTTGTCACACTTCGTTTTTTAATCCATTTTTTCCACCAAATATTTCAGAGTAATAATGGAGTAAATTCAATTTTTTGCAAGTGTCTCCAATTCTTTCCAAAAAGTTATTTTACGTTATCCAAAAGATTACGTTAGTATTATGTAATAGTAGACAGCTTATAACTTTAACTCTAAATATCTCTGACTTATGTATTACGGACATGATCCACTATTTTTTAATTTGTGAATCTGTTGTGTGAATAACATGTAGTCCTTCTTTAACTTACTCATCCAAAAGCCTGCTCAGCGACGAGCTCCTTTCCTTATCCAAACATTGGTTATCCGACAAGTTATTCTTCCTCCTCAATTGCCTGGACCTCGTCCCGCTCATATAACCTTCATCTTTCCTTTTAAACAGTCTTTCTTTGTTGATCCCGTTGTTGTTCGGTTTGTCAAGGGTTTCGCATGGTTGCTGAATCGTCGGAATGTTAAAAAAGTCCGATTTATGATCTCCGTTGAGGGAATCAGTCGATCCGGAACATATAACATTATCTGGAACGCTTTTTATACTGGGAATGTTGGTGTCACTGGCGGTTGTAGTTAGAGGTATGTTGGAATGTCTTAATGCGGTAAATTTGGCGAGATTTCGAGATATGGTTTCTGGATCGTGTTCTATGGTTAACTGAAACGAACAAAAATATTGTAAGAGTAAATGGTTTTGCTATAAATATAACTTGCTACCATATTATACGACTTTTTAGGCTAATACTTTGAAACTTACCTGCAATACTGTGTCTGAATATCTCAATAGGTTTTCTACGTTTTCCAACGAGGTATCTTTAACTGGCATACCATTTATTTCTAATATTTTATCACCAATATGCAACGACATCAAATCGTTGTTGACGTCCAACCTGAAATGATCAATCGTAGTTTTTATTTTGTTATAAACTCTACAAACCACCCATTTTTCTATCGTCAACCTTATACAAGAATTAGGTAACTATTATTGGTTTTTTATTGTAAATTAATTATTACTAACCACTGATTAATCTCGCGAATTTTTTATTCGCTGAATTTTTGCAAGTAATGTTTGAAAAACGTTTTGTTTAATTTGAAAAGGATTGATAGAGTTTTAAAAGAAAGTTTAAAAGAAACCATCTTAGATAGACCGATTACATATAGTCCATTTCCATCATATTGATAGCACATTATGTATGCAAATCCCTAAACTGTTGATACGGGTGACTCAATGAAAAAGAGATATTTGTCAACAAGTTTACAGTAGTATATAGGAAAACAATTTTAAATTGAGTATGACCACCAGGTATAAAGATTGAAGCAGAATAGAATACAAGAGTTTTGAGGGTTACTAATAAAGTTGCCAGTGTCGTAGTGATTAAGATTAACAGGTACTAATGAATTTGCAAGAAATGTAAGATGTTTATTTGATTGGTTATATATAAAATAATTTGTGGCCGTAACAGGGGCCGATTTGTGAAAAAATGAATATTATTTTAATCAAATTCCATTTCAGATTCACTGCTTTCTTCAGAATCTAAGGAATCTTCAACTCCAATATTAATTATTACCGGTTCCAGCATTGCATCAGTCATATTATCCAAATTCCACATTTTATTTTCTTCCTTGTGAGCATGACTAACAGCATTTTTCCAATTTTCTGGAGTTACTTTTGATAAGGAATGTTCTAATAATTGTAAGTCTTCTAATTTAAAAGTTTTGTTGTTGCGTCCGGCTTCACCCTTTACTTGAGACCATACATTTTCTATCGGATTCAATCACAGTGGTATGGGGGTAAACGTAAAATAATTACATCACGGTTTAATGCCATTTCATCAATTATATATTTTTTATAAGCTGCTTTATGTTGCCTTACAATAGGTAATAATTCCTTTTTTGTCGAATTCTCCTTGTACTCAATTGCGTGTTTATCCAACCATTCGATTATCTCTCCTTTTTTCCATGCCGTTGTTGGCAATTTTTCTGCTAGTCTTGAATGGTAACTAGCATTATCCATGACTGACAGAATTTTTTGAAATTAAATCCAATATTTGCTCAAAATATTCTTCAAAAACGTCAGCAGTCATTTCCTCGTGGTAATCTTTGGTTGATTTTGAGGCAAAACTTAATAATCCACCATTGACAAAACCGTATTCGTTTCCAATATGGGTTATTATGAGTCTGCGTCCTTTTCTAACGGGAATATTGTTTATTCCAGTAGATACACCCTCTAAGAATGCCTGACGGGAACTTTTCAAATTTGAATGAACCCATAGATATGGTACAGTATGACCTTCATTTAGCCAAGTCTCGTCCAAATAAAAAATTGTTTTCCCTTCTTCTCGGTACTTTTTAATAGTTCTTAGATAATCTCGTCTCCAACATACAATGTAATCTTTTTCAATTAAAACGGATTTTCTTCTATTCTTTTGCCAACGAAATCCCATCTCTCTCAATAGTCCCCATAATTTCTTGTTGCTTATGATTGGTAACTCTTACAGCACTAAGAATAGCTACGGGAACATTTTGTACTAGCCCCATTAAAAGTCTACAATGTTTAATCGGGGAACCACCTTTAAATTTTAGAAAAATGTACTTGTCATTAATATACGCATCATCTATATCTGCCATAAAATCGCATCCCACTTTTCCTCATAATATCACAAAACGTTTCAAAGAAATTTACGAGAGAATCAGAAGATATATTCAATTCTCAAAATTTTTTGATCAGACAAATACAGTCACACTTCCTTCTGGACTCCTGCAATATGGGATCTAACTCTTTCTAAACAAAACAAGCTTGAGACCCCCTATGGAACAATTAGTCAATCATTTTACAACATACTTGCTTCTTTCCCAGATCATTGTCATATCTATACAAATTCAGCCAAAACTATTGATGGTGTGGGATCAGTAGTAATAGCTCCGAACATTGTATTACAGTTTAAATTAACTTCCAGTTGCAGTATTTACTCTAGAGAACTATATTCAATTCTGCAAGCCCGCATTTATATACGTACTCAAAAAATAATTCCAAATTCTGTCATAATTACCGACTCTCTCAGTGCGTTACATACTACACAGTTATATACAAGTAATCCCATAGGTATTTTAATTAAAAAACAATTACATTTGCTAAACAACGCAAGACAGCAAGTACGCTTTATATGGGTTCCATCACACATTGGACTTCAAGGAAAAGAACAAGCAAATTTTCATGCCAGGGAAGCAATATACAGTGTCTCTTCAGTGTTTAGTGAACTTAGCCTGTTTCCGACTACAAATCGTTCCTTAAAGAAAAATTGACAAACGAATGTAATCTTACACAATCAACAGTCTCCAAGTGGGGAGGAGAGATGATATCAAATATGTAAACGATTTCAAGAGACCGAGAAGGATGCAGAGAACTAGAAGAGGCCTATGTTCACGATACTAAATAAAAAACAAATAATAAGCCAATAATTAACAAATACATAAGAATAACCAGCAATACCATAGGTGAGGTGCTACATGATCTCAAGTCATAGCTAAAAATGAATTTTTAAAGTACTTAGTTCTTGCATGTATTGTTATAGTCATTCATGCTTTAAGTATGTATGTCAACTCCTTTAAATAATGTAAATATTTGGCATTTAAATTAAAATTAGTATTACAATGTATAGCCTGAGAAATACAAGTAGAAAAGTCGCAGATCAACGCAGTAAACACAGCTAATTTTGTATTTTTTGTTCAGTTATTTCTCAAACTAAATCAAATGCAATGTAAATCCCCTACTAATTTTCTAACTACTATTAGTAAATAAGAAGACATTCAAAAAACTCCATACTTAAGGTTTCTAATACAATATTTCCCAACAAAAAGTACCCATTCAAAGAATTATATTTTTCTATGATACGCTATTATGTAAAAAATTACGGAAACTGTTCGGCTATACGACACAATATATCCTAGAAATGTTTCAATATTACGAAAATGCTAAATACGTTTAAGACTAATGGCAGTATTAACAATAATTTTAATGTAAAATGGCATTCCAGCATTCCAGCAGTTTGTGTCAGCAATAGTGAGAACGCGTTCTTCTCTGTCCAGTGTCTTCATTTTGGCACCTGTACCAGGTCGCCATTGATGAGAAAAAATTAATCAACTCAAGAAATCGTTGGTAAGTTCTCTGCACAGTTTAACTAAATGCACCTCACTTTAAAGAGGCCAGTATAACACTAAGATATCTTTAAACCCCTTAAGAACACTATAAAAGAGTATAGTTTTCAAAAGAATAATTTCCGCAAGCTTCGTTTACTTAAATAATGAGCTCTTATAATTTTATGGAAAAAAAAACACACAAAAAATGAATAGAATTTTAAATTTTTCATTGAGACAACGATTTTTTAATTTTTTTCTACTTTTGTCATAATTATTGCAATATCAAATATATAGAACATCCCAGAGGTACTTTTCAGTGCGTCACAGTTTTTCGATTTCTTTCTAATGCATTAAGTTGGATGTGACGGAGAAAGCGGTAGTTCGGTGATTAAACAGAACTATATTGCAGCGTTAGAATAAGCTTACATATATAAGAGGTTCTTTCCTAACCTACGTTTGATTCGTTGATATTTAGATGCGCGCGTTTTCTAGCCAATCAAATACGCCTATTACTGACAGTTGATGTAAAATTTCGTCCATGCTGGCCATTCTTTCGAAGTGTTCCAACAGCAAGTGACGGCTGTCGTTCAGGTCAGTATTTGCAAATAATATAGACGCTATATAATATATTTATATTCTTTGGTATTTGTTTTATATAATTTTATTTTGTATTTTGTTTTACATAGTATTGTGATTGTGGTTTTATTTGTATTTGTACAAGATGACAAGATATACGGAAAAAGAACAAGTTCTAATATTAAAATTGCTTAAATATTTTCAATTGGAAAAGAAAGCTGGACAAATATTATTACCAATTTCTGCTGTTCTTGAAGTAAGTTGAAAATTAACCTGAAAATAAAATTGTTTTATTACTGTTTATTTCAGCCTAATGGGGACATTAGGTTAGTTTTTCACCATATTGCGACCTTTGTATTTACTTGACCTAGTGGTCAATCATAATTGGATAACATAGAATACTATTGTCATACCATTTCACACACAAAATCTCATTAGTTTTGTCAAATCTGTAATAATATGCATTTTTCTTCATTGGCTTACTCTTCATTAGCTTTCTCCTTTACTGGACATTTTACAGTTCCTGTTGCCTTTACATTTTTTTGTTTCAGATATATCATTAGTTGATATATCATGAAATGTTTATCGAAAAAATTTCATTTGTTGATGGTTCAGGCAACTGTTTCAAAATATCAATTACTATTTTAGCTTCAAGTGGTCTATTTTAATGGTACCATTTGTTTTTTTTTTTCGGCAACAAACGTGAAAACCATAATCATATCCAGTGGAACCAGTTATTATCCAATTCTTATATTCACATCTGACTGGCTTCTCTAATTAACTGTTTAGCTAAGTTATGACCAAAATATTTCACCATGGAGTTGTCCTACGGAAATATCTTTATGGAAACATCCCCACTGGCAGTATTTTTCTATAATTTTATCTGCTAAAAGTCTAATTTTGTACATACAAACGTACAAAATAGAATTTTATTTTACTCATGTAATTAATTTATAAGTTACCTAATAAATTTTTGAAAACAGTCCTTTTTGTGTTACTTATACTATGGTCAAAAATCACTAGTGAGAATAGAAGATATAACATCAGAAGAAATAGAAGTACAAAGAGTTGTTCGACAAGGGTGTATACATAGACCAGTATTATTTAATATGTATACTCGGAAGACATATTAAGTAAGGCAATGGATTAACGAAACGTAGACATTAGAATTAATGACATGATCATAAATAACCTGAGATACGCTGATCATACAGTTCTTTTAGCCGAATCACATGAACACCTACAGATACTTCTTAATTAGGTGACCGCAGTAAGCAAAAAAAATATGGACCATCACTCAACAGAGCAAGAAATATACGATAATAATAAAGACAACTCAGGACATTCGTGAGATGTATGTACAGAATCAGCCTATTGAAATAGTAAGAGAATTCAAATCCCTAGATACAACTATTAATGAAAACAATGACAGCTTTCAAGAAATATGAATCAGAATCAAACAGGCCAGAAGCGCATTTACAAGAAGGCTTCTTTGCTGTAGAAAGTTAAACCTTAAGTTAAAAATACGACTGCTGAGGTGCTACGTGCTATCCGTATTATAATACGGGACGGAAGCGCGGACACTGAAGAAAATTCACGTGAGGAGACTGAAGGCATTCGAGATGTGGACGTACCGAAGAGTACTAGAGATCTCATGGGTAGATGGAATAACCAACGTTGAGGTAATGTAACGTATGCATAAGGAAAGAGAAGTACTAATAATTAAGAGGAGAACAGTAAGATATATGGGTCATGTGATAAGAGGAGATAAATATCTAACACTCCAGATCATTAAGCAAGGAAAAATTAGGAGAGAAAGATCCATAGGAAGGAGACGTAACTCATGTAATAACGACTTATTTAGAGCCTCTGTCTCAAAATTAAAAATCGCTGTGATGATTGCCAACTTTCGACGCGCAGACAGCCCCTTGAGAACAAGATACAAAAATTTAATAAATAAATCATTTTGTCGTCAATTTCAAATTTTTCCATATTTATAAATTGAATAAACAATACTGTTTACTTTTTATTTTTATTAATATACGGGATTACCCCCTGTGGCTAAGTATGATCCTGGCATCTGTCAGATTCTTCAATAATTATATGAAATAATTCTCGACACACCTAATTTATTCTATGACGTCATAATTATTGATGCACTGAAAAGTTACCTCTGTGATGTACTTTACCATAAATATTGTTAAAACTAATCGCATGTGAGAAAATTAGTAGGGATTTTTCAATTATTACTACTAAAGTATATTAATTGTAAGCTAAACCTACCTATAAGGGGGTAAAAAATAGCAGCATATGTTAAAAGCGGATGTTAGAAATGTGAAAGCCACTTGGAGCAACTTTCCATGTATTTTCCATAAAAACCTAAATCAACAAATATAAGATAAACTGTCTAAAGTGGTTATTAAATGTAAAAACTAACGAACACATTACAACGTTAAATCCTACAAAACAACCTTATTGGCGATATAATAGTGTCTTTTCAGTCTAAAAGCATACCTCGAGCTGATAAGCATCGGTATAATTCAAAATTGGGTCTCCAGTGACCACGACAAAAATTTTTAAGACAGAAAATGGTAGAACAATTTTCCTTTAGATGTACATTGTACCATTGCCTACAAATATTATTGCAGAAAGTGCTTACAGTCAGTTGTGCCAAATTTGTTAGTTGATACTTAAAGATCAGTCCGAAGGTTTCAAAAACAAAATTATTTATTCCACCCAAGGTAGATTTCACCTATATATGTTTATCCAAGTATGATCCTTTTATATCTACAGTGAGTGAAACTCAACTTTGGCAGCAAATGATAAACATCATATCTTTAGTTGTGAAAAGGGTCTTCCAAACTTTGACAGTTGGTAGCGACGGTTTTGTAACTACATCTGTCAATTTAGCTGTCGCCGCGGCGGAGATTTAAACGATGCTACATTCCATATATAATTGCATCGAGGGGTTTTTCGAATAAAAAAATTTCTATGATATTTCGAGAGAAAGTGCTTAATGACAGATCCTATATTGCTCTGAGCATTCATCTTTTACAGAGTTTGACTTCTGCTTTTTACTGATGGAGGGGATAGACCATGATATGGTGTAGTATTAACACTCAACACATTGAGTGGAATTCTTTAATGGAAAAACAGAATCAATTATTTTCGGCATTATTATATATAAGGCTCTTGAACTCCTAAGTGGAGCATAGAGCTTCGGTGAAAACGCGCCATCGGGTTCTATTTTGCGCTAAGGCCTTCATCTCATTCCAAGACTTTCCTTGGCCTCTTATCTCGTCCATGATGGATCTTCTCCAAGTTTGTACTGGGCGATCTCTTTTTCTTTTCCCTTGGGGATTCCACTCTAGGGCAGTCTTTGCGATACTGGAACTATTTTTTCGGAGTGTGTGACCGAACCAACCCCATTTTCTGGACTTAATTTCATTTTGTACCCTCTTTTGTTCGGTCAGGTGTAGCAGATCTTCGTTTCTGATGATGTTAGGCCAGAATATACGGACAATAATCCTTCGTAGACATTTGTTAACAAAGACCTGCAGTTTGTCTGTGAGGGTGTTTGTCACTTTCCAGGTTTCACATCCGTACAGTAGGACAGACATGAAATTTGATCGGAATATTCGGATCTTTGTCCTTGTAGTATACTCGCCAGATCTCCAAACAGGGTTGAGCGTGCTGAAAGCTTGTTGGGCTTTTCGTATCCTCATACGAATATCGTCTTCTGTACCTCCGTTTTCTGTTATGACACTTCCAAGATACGTAAAGTTTTCCACATTTTCAATCTGCATATTGTCGATAGTAAATAGCGTGTTGTTCCTTGCATTTATTCTCATGGACTTGGTTTTACTAATATTGATTTTCTATTTTTTTGCCTTCAGTGGAAAGTGTTTCCAATTGGTAAGCCAGATCTGGGAACATCTGATCTAATAGGCAGATATCGTCAGCGTATTCTAGATCGCTTAGGCGTGTGGTTAACGTCCATTGTATCCCTCTTGTGTCGGAGTCTAGTTTGGAGAGAACATAGTCTATAGCTATGTTAAAAAGAAACGGAGGAAGCAGGTATCCGTGTCTAACTCCAGTAAGTACGTCGAATTCGTCACTGTTGATCCCATTGTGTGTCACGCTGCATTTCGCATCAGTATATAGTGACTTTATAATAGAAATTATTTTTTGCGGGATGTTTCTTAGCTCTAAAATTTTCCATACAGCAGCATGAGACAAGCTGTCAAAGGCACGTTCAAAATCAACAAAAACCATGTATAGGGGTGTGTTCCATTCAACCGATTGTTCCATTATTACCCTCACAGTATTAATATGGTCTATGCAGGAGGATTCTGGTCTAAAGCCTGCTTGATTAGCTTGAAACTCAACCTTGTTTGTTAATCTTTTCAGTATGATGGTCGTGAAAATTTTATTTATGACAGTAAGCAAGGTTATTCCTCTCCAATTTTTGCACAGTGTGAGGTTGCCCTTTTTTGGAAGCTTGATAATGTTACCTTTTTTCCAGCCCGCTGGAATGTGGTTTGTTTCCCACACCTCTCGGATTATGGGGAGCAAAAGTTCAGCAGTGAGATGCGGATCAGCTTTAAGTATTTCAGCAGCAATGTTATCGATTCCCGGTTACTTGGTGTTTCTCAGATATTTGATAGCTGTTATTATCTCCTTTTTGGAAGGGCCTACAAAAAATATGCAAGTCTATATTCTGCGGGTTTTCGACAATTTCATCTGCGTTATCTCTGGGAATACCTAGCATCTCCTGAAAATGCTCTTTCCATCTCTCTACTTGGTCATCTGTTGTAGTAAGTAATTCGCCTGTCTTAGATCTTACAATGTTCGAACAGTTGGACCCATTTTTTGTTAGTCGTCTAGTAATTTGGTAAAGTTCCCTAGTTCTATTGTATTGTGCAGCTGTTTCTGCTTGTTTTGCCAGTTCTTCGGCCCACCTTCTTTTGTCTCTTCTTGCTTTTCTTTTAACTGATTTATTTATTGTTTGATATTCCTGTTGCCGGTGTGCAGCATTATTAACGACCCGACAAATCCTTCTGGAAATTGTATCGTTCTCTGTCTCTATGTCTACCTGCCTGTGCGATATTTTTGAAAGAAAAGTCTTAGAGTCTTAAAAAGTACTCTTTCAGATCCAAAGTACTATAGACCCATCAGTCTCTCACTTCATGTGGAGTGACTGATGATAAAACGACTACAGGAGGAGATAGATAGAAAAACCTAATCTCCGACAACCAATTTGGCTCTAGGTCAGAGCGTTCCACTATAGACGCGGAAAATACAGTAGACCAGGGGTGCTCAAACGGTCGATCGCGATCGACTGGTCGATCGCGAGTGCTTTTTGGGTAGATCTCGAGAAGAAAAAAAATTTTAATAAGTAGGTAGGTAACTAAACTACTGTCAGCAGAGTTAAACGTTTTTATTAATACTGAACTATACAAATACATAGAATGCTTGACTAAGCATCATTGCAATTCAAAGAAGTGGGAACAACAAAATACTGTCCACACAGCATATTTTATATTTACATATATTAACTAATTATTTTATTAATTCAATATTTATTATAATTATTAATCAAATTTGGTATGATATTCTATCAACTACAAAAATGTATTACGTAATAAAATAACACTGCTTGCGGTAAAAGGTGGCTTTATCAAAGGAACGCGCGGCACTTGTCAAAGAAAAGCCGTGTTGTTTATAGACGAGAGACAGTACAGTCTAGTTTCGGGCGGCGCGTTTGACGGAAACATTCGAGACTTTCGTTCACGCCGATATAAATGTTGCGCCTGCAGGAATTGGAGTTATTCTGAATTGTAACTTGATAGCGATCCTACGTCGATACAAAGTTTTTTATTAAATAGTGGAAAATGAGTGCAGTGGAGAAATCTAAAACGTATCATTTTAATAAGGATTGGGAGAAAGAATTTTTCTTTTCTATGGTGAAGTATAAGTGCATTTGTGTTATTTGTCGTGCGTCAGTTGCAATACCTAAGCGTGGTAACTTAGAGAGGCATCATAAAACGGTTCATAAAAACTATGAAAAGGATTTTCCGCCACAGAGTGAATTAAGAAAACGAAAAGTAAGTGATTTGATATCTTATTTGAAAAAAGAACAATCCATGTTCACAAGACCAGCCAAACAATCAAAAGCTGCTACGATCGCGTCATTTAAAATATCTCATATTTTGGCGAAACATAAGAAACCATTTGAAGATGGATCGGTGGTGAAGGAAGAATTTATTGAAGCGGGTGAGACTTTATTTGGAGATTTTAAAAATAAAACAGTCTGCTATTAGAGAACTTTAGTTATCTCGTCCGACTGTCACAAGGCGTATTGAAGTCATGAGTCAAGACATCGCAGATAAACTAAAACATGATATCATGGAATGTACATACTTTTCTTTACAGTTCGACGAATCCATCGATATGACAGACACTGCCCAGCTGTGTATTTTTATTCGGATGGTATTCAATGACATGTTGGCTAAGGAAGAATTTTTGACAATCATTCCTCTGAAGGGGAAGACCCGTGGCGAAGATATATATGACGTTTTCTTAAATTTTGTAAAAAACTACGAGCTACCAATATATAAATTAATGTGCATTACAACCGATGGAGCACCAGCAATGACTGGAAACAAAAACGGTTTTGTGGCATTGTGTCGAGCTAATGAAGAATTCCCTTCATTTTTTTCATTCCATTGCATTATACATCAACAAGTCAGCTGAACACACTGATTTTCACACGGACGTCAGGTGGTTGAGTCGCGGAAAATTCCTAGAAAGGTTTCAAGAATTATTGCCCGAAATAACAGCTTCTCTAGACGAAAGAGGTGATGACACTCAGATTTTGAAAAACGAAAAGTGGCTAAATGATTTGGCATTTTTGACTGACATCACAATGCACTTAAACACCGTTAACTTGGAGCTTCAAGGTAAAGGAAAAACTATTATTGAGATGATTAGCGCAGTAAACGCATTCAAAAGTAAATTGCAACTTATGATAGATCAACTGAAAAGAAAGGATCTGAAACATTTTCCGTCTTTGAAAGCAAGGATTCCTCAGTTGAATTATGATACGTATGAGGCTGAATTATCAAATATTTTGGGACAATTCGGAATGCGTTTTTATGATTGCAGTAAATTGGAAAATATAGCATAATTTATGAGTTATCCTTTTTGATGTAAAAATATTGAGGAATTAGCTACTGAAATAGCAAATCAGTTTAATATGAACTCATGTTCTGTTGAAAATGAGTTGGTGCAGATTATATCAGATATACATCTCAAAGCTACAGTATCTGATACAAATTTCTGGCGTTTTATATCTGAAGATAAATATCCGAATGTAAGGCAAATCGCCCTTCAACTGACGGCATTTTTTGGGTCAACTTACTTGTGCGAGTCTGCATTTTCTGAAATGAAGATAATTAAGTCAAAATATCGCAATCGACTAACTGACGATCATATGACATCATGCTTGCGATTAGCACTCAGTGGTTACGTACCATCTTATGAAAAGTATGCTGAGGACATGCAGTGCCACGCTTCAACATCCAAAGCCACTCCTTAGTTAAGTTTAACACCATATGTAACTCTTTTGTTTTGTAACAACAAATAAACTCGCAATTTTGAATAACTATGAGTTTTTTCATTGATATTGTAGAGAAGAACCTAACTAAACCTAACCCAAACCTTGACTAAAATAATGTACCTATATTGTGCAGAAAGCTAATATCTATATATGCTACGGTACGCCCTACCTAGGTAGGTAGGGTGTATCGTGTATGTACGACAACCCTGCATCACACACACTTTCAGTCTCTCAGAGTCGATCGTAAGTAGTCTAAAAATATTGAGGTAGATCGCCACCAGTTCAAGTTTGAGCACCCCTGCAGTAGACAAATGGTAAGAATGTCCAGGGAAAACTATGTTGCCATACTCGCCGCAGATATTAAAAATGCGTTTATCTTCAAAATTTGCATAAGAATAAAAAACTCTGATTGTCATATAGATAAGATAAAAATAAATTGTTGAAAATGTCTCATTTTTTAGCATTCTAGTCGGTAATAGTGCCTTAAGGAGTAAAAAAACAAAATTTGCAGGGCAGGTAAAAGGAAATTAAGTCGCAATTCGTTCGCTGTCATTTTCTTTGATATGTTGCATCCGTTTATTATTTAGACCAATTTCATAAATTTTTATTGGATTCAAAACAAAATATTTTTGTTTGGTTTTAAGTACTTCTAAATGCTTTGTTCTCTACAAATTACAAACCTAACCTAACCTAACCTGACCTCAATTAAATATCAATATTGATAATCAGAAATAAATTAAATAAATATATATGTACCCCAGTTATCACTACCCAAAATAACTGCTACATTTTAGCTAAGCATACTATTTTTTTAAATCTCAATGAGCTACTTTTAACTAAGATCTGAAGTCTGGCCAAAATGTATTATCTTTTCGATACTTTCGATGGATTAATTTCGATTTCGTAATTTAAAGTATCAAAAGTGTCAATTATAATCTGTACCAGTCATGGACTGTTCATTTAGACTATTGGGAAAATTCCTGAAGTGTAGCTTCCACATTATCATCATTCTGGTTTTACAACCCTGCATGTCCTCTAGCTCTAGCCTCCTTAAGAATTTCTCTCCAGTCGTCCCTATTCATCGCCTTCCTCCGCCAAGCATGTATTCCCATATTTCTCATGTTTTCATCGATGTTATCAAGAAACCTTATTCTGGGTCTTCCTTTTCTTCTCTAGTCAATGGGTCTATCAATCAGCGTTTTTCTAGCTGGGTTAGTTTGGTCCATCCGCATTAAATGACATCTCAGACATCTTATCTTAATATATTTTATGCTATCTGGTTTCTGGCATATTCTATAAAGTTTGAAGTTGTATAGTCTTCTCCACGCTCCATTGTCATTCACCGCTCCATAAATTCGCATTATAGTACTTTTCTGTCGAAATATCCTAACATGTTTTTATTACTTTTTGTTAGAGGCCAAGTCTCTGAACCATATGTTAGAACTTGACATATTATTATTGTGTAGAGTTTTACCTTTGTATTTATCGATATAATTGAAAATTTAAGAGGATTAGGTATACAAATCCGTTAACTACTTCGATGACGTCGTTTTCTATACCAAGTGGCCTTTCTATAACAAGTAAAAATGAAACTTTTGTGAGTAAAAAGTATATATTTTTAAGTTGCTACTTTATAAACCTCTTAATATTTTTTCAACTTGAACAATTACATCACTAGACTGTTCTCGTGCTATATCTTTGCGCAGTAAAGCACAGCCCCGGCAGGCTACCTGCTCAGTCCGTGCCATGCCATCAAGATACAAGTACATTGTCAAGTCAGAGAGCGAGTTTTTACTAGTTAGTTGTTAGTTTTTGACAATACCACCATTTTATCATTAATCATCGATATATCAATCAAGGTAAGCCGCAAATTGAAAATTTAATTTAAGTCTTTTACAGCTATTATTTTCTGTCTACCTTAAGATGGCAGCAAATTGAAAAAGAACATACCAAGATGAATTCCTTGATTACGGTTTTACACAAATAGAAGACAATGGTACAGAGTGTTGTATATATGAAGGTACTGACTTCAGAATCTTTCAACAAAAGTCATTTGAGAAACATTTAGATAATTTGCATCCACACCTGTCTTCCAAACCGCGAGAATACTTTGCAAATTTAGAAATATGTGTTAAAAGACATAGATTGAATAGCAACTTGTTTGGTACATTTGATCAGCGTTTAACATCAAGAGTTAGCTTTGAAGTAGCATGTTTGATTGCTCGAAATTAGAAACCATACACTATTGTTGAAGATTTGATTTGATTGAAGATTGCAACCCAGGAAGAAAAACTCTTCCTGGGTTGCAGATCTCGCATATTTAGTGGTCATTTTTGAGAGTATAAATATGTTAAACAAAGAATTGCAAAGAAAGAATATTAATATCATTTCAGCGAAAAAAATAGTGTCAGCGTTTGGATTAAAGCTGCAATATTGGAGACAGAAAGTAGAACACAACAATGGTTGTGATTTGTGACATGTATTACTTTTCCCAGAGCCAGATTGAACACTACACAGGAGAGAGGGTCTCCTTGGCGTAGTCCGTTATTTACGCGGCAGCTAACGTGTTAATAACGCAACCCAAATATTTAATGGCAAATTAACTGAAAGTTTTCATTCTTAAATTGACGTAGGTTCTCCATATGTATGACGGCTGTCATAAAGCTTCACCAAAAAGTTAAATTTTTAACCATAATATTAAACAACTGGTGAAGCACCGTAAGATGCAAGTTATTGTTTAGATTTGGTTTGATAATAAGTATTCTTAGCAAAAATATAGCAGCGCTTACATGTTATATAATTATTTCATAATTGTTATTCGCATGCATATTGAAATGTATAAATTACTTACTCAGATATTGTGAAACATTGTGTATTACAGTCGGGATGCAAGGCATTTTTGGACAATTTTATACCTTTTTGACCACCTGGAATCTCCACTAGCCTAATAGAATGTGGTTTTCTGGCAAACGGAAACCCTGCGGTTTTCTGCAGTGGTTGCATCTGACGTTTGTAACATTGGCCGCTGGAAGGAAATTTGCAGAATTATTTTTTACTTCGAAAAGGAGTGTATAGTAGATAGTTCAAATAAAAACATGAATGACTTACCAATATAATTTTGATCGTTCAACAAGAGCGTAGGAATCCCCATCTCCAATAAAAGCACTACATGAGCCACAGCAGAAGCACTCAGGATGGAACTTATGTTCTCCTGCTACCATAACGGGACCTGTGATAATCTGCAAACAAGTTTAGGTATTTCTATAAACAAAGAATGAAAAGAAAAGAATCATGGAACAGTGAACATAGTATTGATTTTAATATTTGTATAATCAAATATATTAATATCTGTGTCTTGAGTTGTATTGACAAACCATAAGATCTTTGTACACTTTTTAGTCTTAATAAAAGTGAACCCCACTTTCTCAGGTGGTATTGTAAAGCAAGGCTATATTTGTCTTGACAGCAACTAATGCTAAGTTTATGCTGTAATGGCAACATTTCTTCTTTCAGAACGTTTTGCTTCTGTGACATTCAACAGTTACAGTTAAAGTTACAGTACATATTATTTCACAATTGAGTTTTTTTATAGTTCATGTATTATTTTTTTTAATAAAAATTATTTAGAATCGTACATGCTAAAAAGAACTACAATAATTTACCTGGCTACACTGCTGACAAGATTCTCCATATCTGGCCCAGTAATCATCTTTACAAAACAGTAAACCATCCTTCTCGAAATACCAGTTTGATAATGAGGCATCACAAGCAGAGCACCTACATGAAGTACAAAAACTAATTACTATGACTAAGAAAATTGTTATATACTTAATTATTTCAACATTTTGCAACATTTCCTTCGGATTTCTATAAAAATATTGCTAAATTTTTTAACTGGTAAATAGATTAATAGAGACTGTCTAGCAATTGAAATGTTGTAAAGAACTAGAATAAAGGTTCAAACCTGAAACACTCCATATGCCACTCTTGACCAAGAGCTGACACAAATTCTTCATCATCAACTGCATTGAGGCACCCAGCACAAATGATTTCTGATGGTGGTGCACTGCCATCTTCTTTTTCTAGAAAGTAAAGTGGAACAGGTCAATATTTTCTAGTATATTATGAAGTAAATCAGAATACATTGATCATAAATAAGTTTGTGTGAGTTTTAATTTAAAATTCATCAAAATTTATGATGTGTCTATGAGAATAAGGAAAATAAGGTGTCTCAATAATTATCATTCCCAGTTGATATGGGTTGAGAAGTTTTTTGTGTATCTTTGTTTGAATTTGCCATATCTGTGTTTTCTATAGTCTTGAGAAGTTGTTGTTTACTGTAGAGAAGATATACACAGTATACTCCCTCTATAACGAACACGGTTATTACGAGGTTTCGCTTATAACGAGGTACAATAAATGTCGTGAAATTTCTATTAAACTATAACCCTCTATAGCGAGGCAAATTTGGTTATAACGAGAGAAAATAGGATCGAGAAACGTGTTTTTTACGTTTTTGCCTGGCGTTTCTATAAATAAATATCCTTTCGAAATGCCGCCCGCAATAAACTTCTGTTTAATCTACCGACCGATATTGTGTTGTCGGAAATTTACAATTTATGATTCACAAGTGTCAGTGTAGAGGTTTGACCATTCGCACATAAATAAACTTAAGGCTTAAAAACATGACAAATGAAACAAATTTCACCAGAATTTCATTTCACAGTAGTTTTTGTCGTAGATGTTAATAAATAATTAACATCCTTAAAGATGTTGAGAACGGTAAAAAGAAAGCAGAAGTTTGTTGTGAAAGAGGAATTGCAAGTTCCACTCTATCTATCATGCTCAAAAATAAACACAAAATTTTCGAAGCAGGTTCGTCTTTTTCCGGTAAATCGAAAAAACTATGTGCCACAACTAATAAAGAACTCGAACTGCAATGGTCAAATGGTTTACCGTAAATAAGGCTGCGAATTTTCCAATCAGTGGACCACTGGTTCAAGAAAAAGCAACACAGTTTTCACAGGTGCTAGGTGGTGATGAGAATTTTAAAGCATTGAGTGGGTGGATGAGCCGTTTTAAGACCAGGCACGAAATTACGTGTGGAAAAATATTTGCGGTGAAGAGAAGAGTGTTTCCAAAGAAGTCACTGACAACTGGTTGAAGTCATGGCCTACAATAACACAAAATTACAGTGATGATAATGTTTTTAATGCCGACGAGCTGGGACTTTTTTAAACTTACTCCAGATAAGACCCTCAAATTCAAAAATGAACATTGTATAGGTATCAAGTTATCAAAAGCAAGGGTAACTGTACTCGTGTGTGCCAACATCTCTGGTTCCGAAAAAAGGAAGTTAGTCGTCATTAGGAAATCTAAAAAACCACAATGTTTCAGAGGAGTGAATCAGCTTCCTGTCACATAAAAATTTAATAAAAAATCGTGGATGACAGCAGAGATATTTAGTGCAGAACTTTTGAAGTGGGACATTGAAAGAATCTTTTAATTGTTGACAAGAAGTTTAACAGTTTTGCCTTGTTGCTGAAGTTCTCTAATTTTATTTTTTATATAAAATTCAACATAATTTATTTTTGATTTAGGATTTAGAGCACTAATTTTACTTAAAGCACTTTTGCTGTCACTATAAATTATAAACTTTGAATGATTAATATTAGAAAAATATTTTAGTGCTTAAACTATCGCTACTAATTCAGCTGTGTATATACTCATGATGGAATTGAGTTTAAACATTTTAGTGTTTTTATTATTGTTATCCCAGTATGCATATCCCACACCTTCATTACTTTTGGATGCATCTGTATACAGTATATAACAATCTTTGAACAATTGTGAACTGTCAGATATAAACACTAATTTTCTTAAAGATAAAGGTAAATTGCTGTAGTCCCTTAAGAAGTATACCTGAACTTGTTCTAGAGTATTAAAGTCAATATTGTAATTTGGGTTTATGTCATATTTATATAGTTGTTTATCATATATTGTTATTTTTGAATAGAAATCTACTATATTTAGAGTTTTCTTTTTTATCCAATATTTTACATGTCAAGCAGCTTAATTTCATTTTTTTAGGTTCTTCCTACAGAGAATATAAGAAGATAGAGGTGATATTGAAAATAATTCCTGAATTATCTCATAGGTGCAACTACCTACAAAAGAAGGAATGACAAACAAATTTATCAGTAGGAGTTGCAAAATAAAACATTTTAATTACTATAAAGATAATCAAATATGATACATTATCAACAACTTCAATACACTATAAATATTTAATGTACACATAACCCTTTTATTTTCTAAGATTGACATGTTGGGTGTGTGACCTAAATGATTTCAGATTTAAAATATTTTTCTCAAATTACTTATTAAAACAATAAAAGAGACTCTTCTTTGTTATTTAAAAATAACCAGAGAGGAAATAACCAAAATATTTTGATAAAACATTGAATTGACAGGAAAGGGACAAGGCCAATATCATATTTGCAATGAATATGTACGATTCCTATAAACAAAAACGATATTGGGTAAAAGGCTGGAGATTTTTGCGGAAAAATAGAAACATATTTTCTTATTTTCTTTGACATTTATGCTGTCGCCCACGCAATTATAGATTATCAAATCTTAATAATGGGTGTAATAAAAATTGGAAAATTATTAGGGATATTACAGAATTCCAATAAAAGTTTTACTCAACTGAGTACGCAATTATTAAAAGGAATTAACTTACCATTTTCACAATGGTCTTGCATGTTTTAATGCAAGTTTTTATCAAATAACATACAAAAACACCATCTTTACAATACAATATACACTGGATTCCATTCTTTTTATTGTAAACATTGATTTAACCTACATGTTATCATTCAGCAACCAATTAAAACGTGATGGGCGTTTCTTCGATCAGTTATCAATGTTTAATATGTATTTACAAAGTCAAAATAAGAGATTTGTTAAGTAATCTTAATCTATTTGTTCTATGTTGTAATTTTAGTTACTGTATGCAGGATTGAAAAAGATATAAAAGAAATTTTTTATTGCCTGTAAGCGAAAATAGTACTGGTAGTCCCTTATATATCCTTGTCAATGAATCCATCATCTGTCAAATCAAACAAACGAGTGGTGAATGTATGACTGCGTTTTGTGGGGTAAACATTGCTAATAATATTAATTTTTAATGTTTCCTGTCGAATGAGCTTTACACTAAACCAATTCGTATTTTTATTTGTATAAATTTGATTTAGAATGTCGTATCAATTATATAGAAACACTACATTAGGCCACACTTTGCAGGAAAGTTTGGATGAATTAATACAGGTAGGTGGAGGGTTAAATTTAAGCATGCTTGGCATATTTCAAGATGTGATAGTTAAATAAAAGTAGTGTAATTATTAATAAAGTTATCCATGCTTATTTTCTATTTTAGTATGGTCAAATTACGCCCCAACTTGCTTGCAAAGTACTTTTGCAGTTTGATAAATCTATAAATCAGACTTTGGCTACAAGGGTGAAAGCTAGATTAACATTTAAAGCTGGTAAATTGAATACCTACAGGTTTTGTGATAACGTTTGGACATTTATGTTGAACGATGTAGAATTCAGGGAAGTGCAAGAAATAACCAAAATTGACAAGGTGAAGATTGTAGCCTGTGATGGAAAAAGTAAGTTGAAAATGAAGTCTCATTTTATTCATAATTTTAGTAAAGGGTATCAAAGAGTATTGTCAATGTGTGGATTTTTCTAGTTTTAGATGGTTAATTTTAATTCACTTTTTACTATTTTAATATGAAAGTAACTTCATGTAAAAATTAAAATAAGAAATCTTACATATTAGGTATTGGGTAATCCTACACTTTAGGAATAATAGGATAACCAAATAGGGAGTGGAGTGCAATTGTAAAACCTCAAAGAAAATAAATTGTAAACATTTTTAATAAATGGGCAAAAATAGTGGTGGCAATAATAGAAATAGAGGAAAAACTAGTAGGAAGATTCCATATCTAAAGGACTTGCAAAAAAAGGGGAGATAGTTGCAATTGTATCATTTAAAAGTGCTTTATTTAAGTGAGTAGGTCAGCAAATGATCCCATAGAAACATACTATATTCAGACTTTGATTTATTTGCTACTGTGGGTCCTATGTGCAGTGAGAAATAAACTGATAGATTGGAACAAAATAGAATATTTTTTATACAGTTTAGTCTCAAAATAGGTCTCTACCACCGTATATTCTGCTAAATTTGTTTATTGTTCATATGGTGATAACTTTGTGGTCTTCCATAAAGATGGTTCAAATTTGGTGTGATCTTTCTAAGAATTAGACCCATTTGGTTCTGTAAAACAATATTTTTAATGTATTAACATGTAGATTGTGTTCACACAGACAGTTTATTTAGTTTGGGATTATTTTAATAAGAGTCCCTGTTGGAAACACAAAAATTCCTACCCAGTAGTACCCAGCCTTATTAGGTTTGTTCGTAGTAGCGATTACAAACGATTTGTGATTTGAAATACAGTGCGCATGGTCAGTTGGAAACTGTTTGGAATTAGTTTGTGATTTTGTGCTCTGCAAACACCTAAAATTTGATATTTTGCATTTGTCATTGTTGTTTGCAGTGTGGCCAGATTGGGCGATTTATTGCCAATTGGGCTACTTTTTAACAAGACTTTGCGACAAAAATTTTAAGAAAATCACAAGTCGCAAATTGGGCGATTTTATACTTTTTAGCACAAAGTCACTTTTTCATAAATAGTTATAGATTCTCATTTCCAATCCCATACGAAATATAAAAATCCCCAATGAGCAAATTACCTTTTTAATCTTATATTAATTATTATAGATACCTGATAACGAAACGACAATACATATAATACATAAATGTTGTCTTTATTTCACTAAAACAGGTTATTTTTTATTAAAATTAAAAAAATTTCCTATAATTTATATCTAAGGTACTATATTATATATATATTATATAATATATATATATATATTATATATAATTATATATATATTATATATATATAAGTTATATATATATATATACTATAGATATATATATATATATATTATATATATATATATATATATATATATTATATATTAATATTAATATTATATATATTATATATATAAATATAATTATATATTATATAATACTATATATAATATATATATATATATATTATATTATATATATATATATATATATATTATATATATATATATAGTATACTATATATATATATATATAATATTAATATATATAATATATATATATATATTTATATATATATATTTATATATATATTATATATCTATATATATATATATATATATATATATATATATATATATATATATATATATATTATATATATATATATATAATATATATATATATATATATATAATATATATATATTTATATATATTATATAAATATATATATATATATATGTGGCGATTATCTGTCGTAAAATTGGCGACATTTTGAGATTGGATTGGCGGACATTTTGAGATTGGATTGGCGTCATTTTGAGATTGGATTGGCGACACGAAGAAATAAATCTGGCCACACTGGTCGTTTGTCAAATCTCGAAATTCCTTTTTTATTTCTTAAGACGTATGACACTATGCATTTTCTTGTATCATTTCTTATATCGTTTCTGATATAGAAAGTTATTTATGTTTTCTTGTATCGTTTCTTGCACGTACATTTTTGCCCTGTATGACACTATGCAAGGTCTTTTACCAGAAATTGTATGTGATTTGGCACATGATTGGTGGAAATTTTGACACCTATAAAAATAGAACTGCAGTCAACTGCAGTACCTGAGGACTCCAAGCTACTGGAGGACTGAGGACATATGCTACTGATTATTTTTTAAAATACTGTGGTGCAAAAATTAAAGAAATAAAATGTCCCAATATTAAAACTAAATTGGAAACCACAATTTTTGAAGATATTCAACAGGCTGTAATGGAAGACAGAAATAATAATTTGGTTGTAATAATTTATTTGTTTTTTTTTTTAATTATGTGTTTGAATGGCATGCTCTTGACATTCTACTCTCTTATTTGGAGATATAAAATAATCTTTAAACTCATCACTAATGTTTAGAGCGGTTATTTCTTGTACAAGAAAATGCAGCGGACACAAATTCTTGTATCGTTTCTGATATAAGAACTATAACGCTTGTATGACACTATCCATTTTTTGTTATATCAGAAACGATATAAGAAATGATACAAGAAAATGCATAGTGTCATACGGCCTTTAGAATTCGATCTAATTAGTTTGTTAAATCTTTTTATTCACTTTTTTTGCATTTATTGTTTAATATTATTAGTCGTTTATTTGATTTTATTAGTTTGATTATAGTTTTCTTAGTATATTTTATTTTTTAGTTATACCTATATAGTTGTTATAACAACCCAACGTTTGTTTTGTGGTTATAAAATAGATTTATATACAACAACAACACCTCTGCGCATGTCGCTGATTTTTAGGCCGCACAATCGTTGGGTATTTTAACAACCGTTGGAAACCGAATTCTGATTAATCACTTTGTTACTGCGAACAGCAAACTTAAAATTGCCAACCGTCAGAAGTGCTTCTACGAACGCTAACTGTTAACTGCGCGTGCGTCTGATGGTTGGGAACGGTTGCTGATCGTTCTAGGAACAAACCTATAAAAAGCTGAACTTACTGTTGAAGACTTCTTTAATTGAAAAAAGAAAAGGAGTGTGTTTTCATTAATTGAATAGTAGCTTGATGGTATAGCAACTTCCAGCCTAAGTCAAAATTTGTCCAAGGTACCAAAAAGTTAATTCATGTAGGTGAACCTACTATATATTTGTACTTTCAGTCCAGGAAGAAAGTTTTACTTGTTGTGTAGGAAAATAATTAAATCCAGAAAGACTGTATTCATTATGAAGTGACTATTTTGCCATATTCACAGGTCTCTTATCATATTCAACATAGAATCTATTTTTTTTTTCAACCATATGTGCCAAATTCTTTTAAACTATTCCTTAAATTTGACAAATATTTCATTTTCCATTTTATCATATAACTTACCTGATCTGTACATTATGTGTATAATCTATATTGTCAAGACTAAACACACTGGATAGTTACACTGAATATTTATACAGTAATCCCTCTTCAACCTTGGGGGTTACGTTCCAAAGAGAAAGGTGCAGTTGGTGAAACCATTGTTGGCAAGGTCCAAAGAAGAATATGACATATAATCCCAATTTGGATACATATATTAGTACATAGAAAGAAATAAGATGAAATTATGTACATTATATATAAATGAAACAATAAAATAAGCATTTAGATAGTCATATTTATTAAATGTATACCTACATTGTATTAAAAGTATGAAATGCTTTAAAAAGTTCACTTTTTAAAATATGACTGGATGGTTGGCTGCTTTATTTTCTTCCTCATTTCCTTTTGTGCCTATTTGTACTGTGCCAATAAGCTTTCTAAACCATTTTTTAATTTCAAGCTTCTTTTCATAGAAGGATCCACATCAAAAACCATATCCTGGTTTTTGAGCAGATGATAATATTGTATTTATGTTGCTTAAATTGAGAAACGTGACTGCCATCTTGGCTGTTACTTCTTGGTTAATCGTGGAGTTATCATCTCCAACACTTTCTTTACTATTTTTCAGTATTTCTAGGAGCTCCTGTTCTGTAAGTTCACTGTCATTGGCGGCTAGAACTTTTTCAACATCACCTGATTGATGTTGTCATCTAAATATCATGTACTTCCTCTGTTTTATGGGACACTTCTGAGGTTACAATAACAACTTCTGGCCATAGATTTTTCTAACACGCTTTTATAGTTGATGGATGTATTTAATCAGTGGCTTCTTTAATTATAGTGATTACAGTGAGAAATATTAAATTGTCTCTAACAATCAGTAACAGTCAATGAAGGATCGAATTACATACAATTGAAGATACAGCTGAATGTACGCCTTAGGTAATACCATTTAAATGCAGCTATTATTCCCTAATCCAAAGACTGTTAAAGCGGAGCGTTGGGAGGTAAAAAGTCAATTCTCACATGTGAATCTATTAAGTTGAAGGATTCTGGAATGTCCAGGAGCATTGTCGATAAGAAGAAGTGCTTTAAATAGTAGCAATTTTGATGTTAAATATTGCTAACACACACACAAAACAGTTAGTAAACAGTGTTGCTGTAACCCACATTTTTTTATTTGCCTCTAAAATACTGCTACATAGTTCATTTTTATTTTTAAGAGGCCGTGGGTTTAGAGACATATAATCAGATTTGGTTTTAACATATGATCACCTGAAGCGTTACAACAAAATAAAACAGTTAACCTATCCTTTCCTGCTTTAAAACCTGGTGCAGATTTCTCATTTTCCGATATGAAGGTGCGAGCAGTCATTCTTTTCCAAAAAAGGGTGTTTCGTCGGCATTAAAAACTTGTCTCAGCTTATACCCCTCCCTTTCTATTAGTTCTTTAAGTTTAGCTGGATACTGGTTGGCCGCGTCTTGGTACGCTGAAGCTGATTCTCCCACGATTTTGACGTTTATGTAAAGGAACTCTTTTTTTTTTAATCTTTCGAACCATCCTTTACTCGCTTAGAAACTAGAAGATTCATTGTTAGACTTTAGATTTTCAAGACCGGTTTTCTTGTATCATTGTGTGCTAATTGGCTACTCATTTTTTTTGTTTGATCCTTCGATCCGAACGGCTAGTGCTTTTTCCATTTTTTCCAAGGTTTGAGATGCTGAAAAACAAGTTACTTTGTTGCTTGAACTAGTGCCATGCAAAACACTGGAACGAATGGTTGTCTCACTCTTTTTTATAGCCCTTACAGTAGACTGATCCACTTTAAACTTCTTTGCGGCACTTGCAAATGATTCTCCTGCAGCTAAACAGTCTAACAACTGATTTTTTTTATCTGAACTCATTACACATCTTTTCTTACTATTCCTTTCAAACGAAGACATTTTTCCAGTATCAAAACTATTTATTGTTCGACGTTAAAACGAGAACTGTAGAAGTACAAAATATGTAATTGCATATCTGTGAAATATTATTATCATATCAACAAAAATAAATACTACTTCGCCGGTATTTTAAACCTTTTAACCGGAACTATAAACTAATTTCTGTAGTGTTACTACTAAGAACAAGCACCAATGGCGTATCATAAGTAATTTAAAGCGACTGGTTAAATGTATAAAAATAATAACATTCTCATTAAAGATTCAACAAATATCGCAACCGCGGATAAGTTAAACCGCGGTTGATGAGTCCGCGGATAACGAGGGATTACTATAATATATAAGGTGAAGTTTTTTATGTATCATTAAGTTTGTCATGGGTTGTCATTTAAATAAAAATTTACTATTGGGATCAGTTGTCAATTGTCTTAATATTCATATTTTAATATTCTGAACATGTTTTAACACTATTTATTTTTTTTTTTAGATGTCAATGAAGAAGGCGGATCCAAAAAGTAAATATAGAAAACAAAGTGAACTGTATGACATTGTAAATAGACTGTTTTATTATTTAATAAGCATATGTTCTCCTTAATGCAAGTAAACAACAGATACTCCCAATCAACACTTGAAGAATATGACAATTTATAGTTGTAGGTGATGTAGAATGAAATTGCAAATATGTAGATAATATGACCTGTTGCTTATTTGCATTTTTAGAAATTTTTGTATTGTCACAATGATTTATTTTAAGTATGCATATGAATAAAGTTATCATTTGACCAAAAAAATCTTTTTGTGGTCTATTCTTTTATTCAAATGGCTAGGTCTAGTCTTTTTAAATCCTTTTTAGGCATTATTATAACATTTGGAAAGATAATCCGAACTATCCAATTAATACTGAAGAATCGATGGCCAGTTTTCAGTTCATTGTCAAACATAACATACTAATAATGAAAAAAGAGTGCAGGATGAATGATGGAATTTTCTCCGATTTCCACCAATTGTTGTGGGGAAAGCTTATTAAATTCCTTTCCCCGTGCGTGTACAGTACCAAATATTTTAGGACCATGGACTGTACAAGAGTGTTTCCTTCGGTATATACAAGTAGACTTCACGGCGCTTGTTCTTTATGTGTTTGGTTTAATAGGGGTTGTACTTAGAGAAAATTAGAGAGAAAGTTAGAGCAGGAGACGAATTCACTGAAAATATTCCAACACCGGGAGGAATTAGACAAGGCGACAGTTTAAGCCCTTGTTGTTTAATCTTCTCATGGGCAAAATTATCAACAAAGTAAATCTCTTAATCTCGGATATAGAATGGGCAACAAAGAATTGGTATGGTGTGTTACGCAGACGATGCAGCAATTATTGCCGAATCAGAAGATGATCTCCAAAGGCAGCTCTTTCAGTTCTTTCAAACAAGCCGACTACTAAATATGAACATCTCTACCAACAAAACTAAATGTATGACAATAGCAAAATATCCGCTCAGATGTAAGTTAGTGGTTGAGGACAACCCATAGAACAGGTGATGCAATTCAGATATCTGGGCATAGATATATCAAGCACCCACGACCCAGTAAAGGACCTGAGGAGTCAGATCAACAAAGCATCTGCACTGTCAGGATGTCTGCGGGAGATAGTCTGGTCAAATCCGTATATGCGCACAGATAGTAAAATTAGAATCTATAAGACTTGCATACGACCGATCATGACATATGGCATAGAAGTGCGCGAAGATACCAACAAAACGAAACAGATGCTAAAGGTTGCCGAATGAAAACCCTAAGAAAATAATGGGGAAAACAAGAAGAGACAGAGTGAGAAATACAAACATTAGAGAGCAGTGCAAAATTCAAGATATTGTAAGATGGGGAAGGCGGCGCAAGAGGATGTGGTACAACCATGTAAGACGAATGGATGAGAATAGACTCCCAAAAATTGCCCTAGAAAACAATCCGCCTGGTTCAAGACCCCCCGGAAGACCACCTAAAAGATGGAGGGATAGTTGGCAATCTACCTCCCAAGAAATTAACCAGAGGCAGCTTCAGCATTAAACAGATCGAAAGATCTACAAAAAGTAGAAGAAGAAGACTTGGGAGAAAAAATAAGCGTAATTAATTGAATTTACACATTTAATAACAAGAGAATATTTACACAAGCACTAATACTAACGAAAGAGTTCGCTTTAAAAACATTGTCCATTATTATATCTGCGTTTTAAGGGCGCGCGAAACTATCGAGAAAAACAAATACACGTTTCACTGCATTTTGGCGGCGAAGAGAGAGATTAGTCGCTAGGTACCGGCTGGTACAGTCTGTAACATAAATTCCAAACCAATATTTGTGAGAACTAAAAATTACACTAAAATTAATATAAAATGTTTTTACAACAATGAAGATTTTAGAAGACTATTAAGCTGCGTTTATGTAGGTAGAGAATCGCGAGCAAGAGCCACACTTGTGGTACACGAATCTTAATAAGTTCATGACATTTGTTTCATGGAGAATATGCAGTACTTGGTAGCAGAAGGTGTCAAGTTATGTGTGGAATTATATCAAACAAGATTTTTCATTAATAGGTTGAGTGCCGTAGCATACACCGGTGTCTGCTCTGGTACTTTCCTTCCGGGCCATGGCAGACACCGGTGTCTGCTCTGTATCTGAAATTTTATCGATCTGTATTGGCCAGGCAGACACACTTTAACGCGTTTTAATATGCTAGCATGTCTGACGTGGCCCAGAAGAATGTTGATCTGATACTGGGTTTTTAGTAGCTGTTTTTTTTATTTATTTATTTATTTTTTTTTTTTCGAAACACTACAAAAACAAAATATTTTAATCACTTTTAATGAAGCAAAAAATACAGAATGAAGCAAATTAACTAAAATTATAAGGGTACAACATAAATGTTTAAAAAACATAAGGTTTGCAGTGCAATAAAATTATTACTTTTTATGGAAAAAATTGAAGCACTCTAAGAAAAATCTTGGTTGTCCTTCACAAAGAGAACAAAATGTTATGACACGTTTGACCTTGCTTTTCGCTAATATTCCTTCCTGCTTTTTTTTGTAACAGCCTCGACAATATTTTCTGTTTTCTTGAGCTTTACAGTCTAATTTGGAAAAAACATGAGTTCGAAGATTCTGCCATCTGCGTCTGCTGCCCAGAATTGATTTCATTGTCATCTCCGAATTTCAATAAGTTTTCTATGACTGACATTCTAATAGACATGGTGCTCCCTTCGCATTCCTTGTAAAGAAAATGAGCATTTACCATTGATGTACCCAGGATTACCTCAATGGCCACTTTTTATACCACCGAATTGTGCGACGTAAAGCAGTACTATAACTTGACATTTGGTCAGATATGTCGATTGAGCTTTTTCCGCGATTATAATCGATTACTGCTTTAGGTTTTTGAATCTCTTTTTCAAGGCGTTGAACCTGCAGTGTCTCATCGGTGTGACAGGTAGAAAGAACTAGCACATCTCTTTTATCTCGCGATTTGAGGATGCATATTCCTCGCTTATTTTCTGAGCAGCCATTTCGCCCCTTTTCAATTTGTTTTTTACAACATCAGAAGGATTCCCACTACGATTAGCACATAAGGTACCCAAACAATGAGTTTTCTTATCGAGAAGTATGTTTGAGAGTTGTAGACTTGTGTACCAGTTGTCAGTAATGCAAATTCTACCACTACCCAGAAGTTCTTGAGACAAAGACAAGACAATTTGTGTTTAGACCAATACATATTTATTTTCGGTTTGTTCTTTCTCCTTTCCCGCAAAAATGCTAAGATTCCATGTATAGCCACTAAACATTTTTATGCCATATTTGTGAGCCTTCTGTGGGTTATATTGTTTGAAAATTAAACGACCCTGGTAGGGTATCATGTATCATATACAACTTGAAGTTTGATATTAGCTTGTCTAATAAAGGCTGAATTTTGAACAAGCGATCTCCTTCAGGACAAAGATCATTATCAGAAAAGTGGAGAATTTTTAGAAGATTTTCAAAACGATTGCGGCTCATTACACTGCGACAAACTTCGCTTTTTAGGAGCCATTTAGTAGACCAGTAATCTCGGAGGGAGTTCATCTTGACAATGCCCATATAACCCAATATGCCAAAGAAATGTAAGATTTCTGTTCTATGTGTTGGCTCCCATTGTTGCATGCGGGCTTCATTAGTAAGGCTAACATTTTACTTACTAAGACTAACATTTAACTTGAATTTGGTATGGATATTTAAAACATACATAACCTCAATATTATCGTATTCTATTTAAACCTAGCTCTACCACTTCGTTAAAATTTTTGCTCATTTGTATTTTGATGCGCCATGGCCCATAGTGGGAATAAAAAAGCGGTCCATACTGGGATATGATAATAGAATGCGGTCTATACTGAAATATACTAAAACATGCTAAACATTTTCATTCTTTGCAGAATTGAATATGCCGAGATATCCAAGATCCCAACTGTCAGTAGTTTTCGAGAAAAACCTAGAGAATCATGAAGTATATGCAAGATCTATGCATTCTGCAGTAGATGTAAAAATCAAATGTCATTGATGAATGCGTCCAAAAACAGCTATTGTGCGAGTACATAATTCAGGCTTGTGAAATGTGCTACGGCTTAACATTAATACATACTTGTGAATTGGCTTATAAGTATGCCATTACTAACAATAAAACGGTGCCTCGAACTTGGTTGACTAATTTTAGGAAACGACATCCTATGTTATCGCTTCGAAAACCAGAAGCTACTAGCCTTGGCAGAGCCACCAGCTTCAACAAGCATAATGTGGCTACACTTTTCACAAACTTGACTCTCACAGATATACAATTGTGATGAGACTTGTGTCACCAATGTGCATAAACCCGGGAAGGTACTTGCAAGCATTAAACAAAAACAAATTGGAAAAGTGACAAGCGCTGAAAGAGGCACATTAATAACAATGTGCACTGCAATATGCGCTAATGGGACTTTTGTGCCTCCATTCTTTGTATTTCCGAGGAAAATATTTAAGCCTTTCATGCTTAATGGGGCTCCTCTAGGATCAGCCGGTGCAGCGTTTCCTTCTGGTTGGATGACAGGAAATAATTTTTTAAAGTATATAGAGTACTTTATCAAACACGTGCGATGCAGTAAAGAATTCGCAGTTCTACTAATTATTGACAACCATGAAAGCCGTTACGATGTTCGTGTGCTAAATCTATGTAACGAGAATGGGATTATTTTATTGACATTGCCGCCCCATTGCAGTCATAAATTACAACCGCTCGACGTGAGTTGCTTCTTTCCATTTAAAAGCTATTGGTTATAATACACCAGGAGTTGATGACTGGATGCTAAATCATCCTGCCATACCTATGAGCATTTATGATGTTTGTAATGTTATTGGTACCGCCTACCTTAAAACATTCACTCCTGTCAACATTCTCAACAGGCATAGCGCCCCTGAATTGTCAAATTTTTTCAGACAGTGATTTTATGTCACTGATAGGTCCGAAGAAAATGAAAATGGTAACGAACATAAGGCTAACGAAGGTGTTCAGGATGTAAAAGAACCACGACTTGTCAGCCCAATTAATGGCCCATCCAATATAATAACCCCTCAGCAAATTAGGCCACATGCCAAAGCTGCTCCTAGGAAAAACTTTAGAAGAAGCTACAGTCAGCAGTAATAACAGACACTCCCATAAAATATGCCATAGAGGAACAGCATAGAGAAAGATTGGCTAAAAAACATTTTCAGGAGAGAAAAAGCAGAAGGCTACAAAAGTTAAACGTCAAGTTTTTAATGACGACATTACATTAGTTCGAACAGTGATGTTAGTGAACAAATTGCAACGATTATAGCGATTTAGAAAGCTTCACATCAGAAAATAAAGAATTGTCTATTCAGTCATGACTATGTTATAGTAAGATACCTGACAAAAAAAACTGTTAAACATTATGTCGGCCAGGTTATTATAATAAGTGGAGATGAATATAATATGAAAAATCGAGTGTACGCGCATACTTAACAATTAAAAAACAACGGTCTCAATTAAAATAAGCCCCGATTACTCTTCACAATCTTGAAGTTGAATGTTTAAACTTTAATTTAGACACTTGGTAACCTCAAAAATAATAATTTACATGTGTTTCAAGCCTCAAAAATGCGTATTTTCGCGTTTTTCAGACTTGAAAACTATCAACTTAAGAGAAAAATGACAAGAGACCTTTTTTGTTTAAAATGACCCTAAAAAACGTTTTCCAGATAAAAAAAAAATTATTTTTGGACTTTGTTTAAACAATTTCTGCCCAAAAATTTCGCCCGGCACCCTTCAGATTTGTTTAAAGGGGACATTTTTGAACCGGAATCCGCGAAGAAACCGAATCAGAAACATTTTCCCAACGGGAGCGGCCTCACAGCCTGGACTAATAATCATATAAATGTAACCAAACAAAAATAATCAAATGATATTTAACGAGCTGCTAAAAATAAGAGGACACGTTTTGACACCTTCCAAAATATTCTGTTTTAGCGGGAGTTTTAACGGTTTAGGTTATGATTTTAACGGATGCATAAGTTACAGAATACAAAAATAATTTTAGCGGACGCTACAATTTTAGAGGCCTCTAAAATTTAACGGAAGTGTTACAGAATACACTCCTTATTGTGTTGTTTATTTTATAAGGAAAAATTAATAGATGAAATTTTTTTCAATAACTATACAAATCATTGTTCTGTTTGGTTTAAATTTTTTTTAATAAAACGTCTTAATATATTTACCTATTCTAAATTCCTACAAATTAAAAAAGAAAAATCCTCTATTTTTATTTTTAGACCCACCTGGTCTGACACCGGGGCAACTAAACTTGTAAGAAATTATAGCGCCACTACCCGAAGATTAATGGGAGAGAACAGGAGAAAAAATGAAAAAATACAAAAAGTTCGTCTTTAACCATATATTATTACATTGAGAAATACAGTTTTTAAACAACAATTGTTTTTAAGAAGTGAAGTTGTCATTTTTGTGGATATATTACATTCAAAAATGATTCGGGATAAAAGGAGTGATTTGACAAAAAGTCCTCATCAACAAAATAAAAACAAAAATTTACACCCTCGCAGGAGCATTCTATTTAGTAAAAAAATATAGCGTGCGCCAGAAACTTTTTGCCAAATAACTCTTAAAACATAAAATACGAAAAATAATCAGTTCTGACCCTAGGAGGCAACAAATAAAATAATTGGCATTCGAGAAAACAAATCATCTGTTTCCCAAGAACAAAATATATCTACATGTAGGCAATATTTTCTAAACAGTTCTTTTAAAACACATACCTTCCGCAGCATCTATGCCTATATCATCATTTTTAAAAGAACTACTAAGAAATTCAATAAATCTTCCGGATACATACTTTAAATATTTTTTATAGAGTGGACGTAGAATTCTGTCAACCAAATAATTGCAGAAGAAATCCTTGAAGCTCAAAATGAAGACATTCTTGCAATTTGAGACGTCAAGGAGCTCTTCTCAACTGAGCTTCCTCTATATTAACAAGAACATTTTTTATTATTGGTTGTCATTTTATTATTTTTGTTAACAACTTAATTAGTTATATATACAGGTCGAATTATTTCCAAATTAAAAATCCCTTTAAAAATATTTCGCTACATCAGCAATATACTGATCAATTACAAATAAAGATAGATTTGTGCAATTTACTACAATTAATTACAACTGAATTGCTCTAGAATTTGTTCAAATCAATGCTGCCTAAATTATTTTAAACAATATTTGGTGTAAGAAACAAAGAATGATGTCAATTTTTCTCCTTTTAACCCCCTTGAATTTTTCGAGATAATTTTATTAAAATGTATGTACTCTGTAGAACAGCTAAAGACTGTTGATTCTCCATTTAAACTACTTAAAATTAAATATATTTAACCATTTTCTTAAATGATAACATTTATAAATGTGTCAATGTAGAGGGAAGATACCATTTGAATTATTTATCTATGATAAATGCAAGGAGCATATTAGACTGGTATTTTTTGCAAATTCTGTACCAGAATCAGTGTATCTTCTTGTTGTATAGCATCTTAACATCCAGTAACGATTAATAGAATAAGTGACACAGCCATAAATGTCCACCTCTTGTGTCCACTGTACTACTTATCCTTCATCCGACCCAATCAACTGGCATATTCTAAGTCACATATCCATTTTTGTACTAAAGAACTATATATACCAAATTTCAAAACTTACAACACCAAATACATTAGGTGTAGGACTCACATAATGTGTTTTTTCCTTCAAGGCTTACCACATAGTCTATGATACATACTCGAACAGAACCTGTCTGTCATTAGTAAATAATACCATATTTGATATAACATCTATTTTTATTCATGATATCCATTTCCATAATTCTGAACCTCTGCACCAGTTAGTAATAGTTAATCCAACAGATAGTTACAAACTGTACAACAAAATACTTCATTTATGCTCACATCTCGAAAGGAATGTACAATGAATATACAGGGCGTCCCAAAATATTTTATCAGTCTTTTTGAAATACCCCATAAGATCGTTTATCATCTTGGTTTACAAACACCAAATCTCACAGCCAGATTCGAATTCAATTCAAAAATAATTCGAGCTTGAAAACACAAATTTTGGATTTTCCATGTGCACCAAAACCGAAAAAGTATACAAGAAAATTGGAAAAACGAGATAATTGCACTTGAAAACTTAAATGGTTTAAGTTAATTATTAATTATAAACATGCAACAATTAAGATTCAGCTGTTGTTTTTTTGCTAGCTTTAAATACAGGATTTTACCGAATTGACTGCACAGCAACAACTCGATTAATGGTCAAAATTGTAGCGAGAGTTTCCCATTTATCCAAATTTCTTGCATCAATTGAGAAAGAAAAAACAAAAATTTGTGCGTCACCTTACTTTTGCCCAAAATCCCTCATTTTAAGTGAAAAATCTAAACTTCATCAACAAAATAATTTTATTCCAAAATGTTATAAAATTATCGTCTGCAAAAAAACTCAAAATTTTTAGAGCGCATCTTCACATCCATGTCATAAGATTTCAAAAATGCGCCCCAGATCGAAACATATACTTAGGGTATTTGAAAAGGTGATCATCTAATAGTGGAATACTGGAAATGGGGTTAGGGAATGGTGGATACTTTGTTTGGGGGTTAGAAGTCAGGTGAAATTGGGGCTTTTGGAGATTAACCACTCTTGAACAATAGTATCGCCACTTGTCCTAGGTAAAAGTAGATGAAGTGGCGGGTCTCGTGGGTCACGTATGATCCGAAATTTCTACCGACGATACAATGCCATGTTGGATTGTATTTTTTGTCGAATTCTTTTTTAATGTAGGCGGCAATATCCTGGAAATAAAAGAAAATTATATTAAAATTATGTTTATTTATATTAGACATTGATTTTTTTTTACTTTTACAAGAAAAGTGAAAATATCATTTGTACTTTTTTTTAGTCACGCAAATAAAGCAATGCACACTTTGAATACTTAAAAATGCAATTTTAAAAGTGCATTTTTTAAGTATTTAAAGATAAAAAAAAATTGTAACTCAATGAACATTGATAAAAATGTTACTCATAGGTTTTTGAGGTGTCTAAACATTCCGTATATGCATTTCGCACCTTGGACTTTATTATTAGTCCTTTCGGGTGACTTCCAAACATTCCGTATATGCATTTCACAGCTATAATAGGACTTTACTATTGGTCCTTTGTGGCACTCAGTCATGTTTCAATAGACAAGGAGGTGCCAAGGACATATGGAATGTTACTTTAGTGTGAAATTGATATATGGAAAGGTATTAACATTAGCAAGACATTTTCTTTCATTTACTAGGTAGGTTTCACTTTCACGGCATTTTTAATGACATTAGTTGTACTCCCTTAGAAAAATATTATAAAAGACGGTTTCAAAATTTTGCAAATAGTAGAGATGAAGTTCCAAGATTACTGCTTAAAAAACAATTGAAAAAAAAATAAATATTTACAACAGGAAGATATAATTAAATTATCTAAAGGATTATAAAAAGTTCCTAGTGAGCACAAGAATAGCAACATTACTTTGCAGCTGCGAAATTGGAAGATTGGGTGCATTTTGCAAGCATTAAACTGCCACTGAACACTTTTTTAATATACTCCTTTACAACATTCCAGCTACTAATCCTGAGGATCGATATCTTCGATCATTCTTTTATGACAAAAATGAAACAGCTGAACAGGATTTTTTTTTACAGATCTCTCCATATTAAAACCATAACAGCTTGTGAAAGTTTTTTAAAAACAACAAGGCGATTTAGACACAGACCATATAATAGTGCAACCAATCAGCCAAAGAAAGTTTCGGTCACTCAAATACATGCCTGAGACGAGACATTCAGCCTTCGGTGCAAAAAATGTAGATCTGGGTGAATATTTGCCCATCTTAGTACTTGAAATAAAAAAATTATTATATGTATAGTTGGTTCTGTGAAGAAGAAAATAAAAAGTTTGGTTTCAACATGTTCTAGGGAGAGGTAAATGCAAACCAACCTGCTCTAGTAGGTGAGGACACAAGACTGTAGAATTAATTATGCCATAAAGCATCTTTGTATCTTTAATTAATTGTAGGTCATACAATGACAGAAAGCTGAGTTGGGTTTCAATTTGATCATAATTTATTTTTACGCAAAGGTATACCTTGTTTATATGCTACATATTTTAAGAACAGACTGTCTCGATTTTTGATATGTAAATATAAGATGGATAGCATACACAAGAACAATACTCTAGATGAGGTCTAACTAAAGAACAATCTAGTAATTTAATTGCTTCAATATTCTTGAAAATCTCTAGTGCATCTTTTTATAAAGCCAAGCATTTGTAAAGACTTGAAATTATTGACACATAATGTGATTCAAATAAATTCATTGGGTCTCTCAATCATCCAGAAGAAACAGCATCACACTTATATGTATTCAGGGCCATGGCATTCAACACACACTACTCAGTCAACTGATCATGTTTATGATTAACACAATCTTCTGTTCAAAAAGAAGGGTGAACTGTGCTAAAAGCAGTGGTGTATATCATAGTTGAATATGTTAAATAATAAGGGCCCCAAATGAGAACCCTGGGGTACTCCTAAATGAAATGTAATTTCACTGGAAACAAATTCCCTAATATGCACTTTCTGAACTCAGTCAATCAAGTATAATTCAGCCATCCAAGAAGTGGATCATTAATACCCATTCTTATAAGTTTAAACATTAAAATATTATGATTGACCTGATCAAAGGCCTTGGAGAAATTAGTGTATAATGCATGTACCTTACAGCCCTGTCCAAGGCTTTCCTCATGAAGGAATATTCATCAATTTATAAATTTTTTAACTTAATACTTAAAAACACACTTTTAAATAAAAAACCACATTCGAATCAATCATACTTTGCATAAAATCAATAGCAAGGACTATTTCTTGGACAATAAATCACAAAATGCTTGTTTCTGTTTGGTATTAACATCTTAGATTGAGTTGATCAAGACAATTAGCATTCTAAATAAAAAAAAGGACTTACTTCAATTTAGATCTCTTACACAACTATTTACACAATGACTCATATCATATTTCTAGAATTTTAGATGAAAAAAAAAAAACAAACTGGAAACATAAGTCAACTTAAGTGTCTTCTACTAAAGACCTCTAAGAACATATCATGTTTATGTAGAACTTGATGAAACATGTATAAGACGTATATGTATAAAATGTAAATTATCTTTGGAAGAAAGGAAAATTTATATCAGACTTCTTCTTTTTTCTGATATAAACCTCTCATATGCTGCTAGTAGCTTATTGTACATGTTCTATTAATTATAATAGAAGTCCTAGGGACTTTGGTAGATATGCTATAAAAAAACTCTCTACTAACACCCAAAGGAGCTTTTATTTAACCCTGGTATAACTACTGCTCTTGTATTAAGGCAACTTGGGGGACTTTGGTAGACTATATAGAAACTCCCTGTCAAAATTCAATGGACCTTTTATTTAACCCTGATATAACTACTGCTCTTGTATTAAGGCAACATTGAATCTTCCTATAGCAACAAAAGTTCTGCTAAAGCTGCATGTTGTACTTTAGTGAAGATTAATCTTACACTTTGGAGCAGAAACAGAGTATGCAACTGCAGGCGGCTCCTCTAGTCTTGTTCCCTATACATTTTTATTTCTTGACTCATTCATTTCTAAGTCCTCTCTTTTTATCCCTTGGCCATATTATTCCCACAGGTTGGGTATGGTGGCAGTTCATATTCTTTCAATTGATACATGAACATACATTTTGTATCACTAGGACTGGCTCTGGTCATGACAGAGAAAGTTTAACAGCTGTTTATCATATTGAGGAGATTCTCTTAGTTCTTTACATCAGTTATATTGTATAAAATATTGGTTTTATGCATGATACTGCAATACCATACATTGCTAGAATTGTCCAGGACTATATTGCACTCAATTTTCAAGTCCATTCCAGATCAAAGCAATATTATTTGAGGAATTATAATTATTAAAAGAATAATAGAATTGAAAATCAAGAAGCATGGTGATTTTTATCAACATAAATGTAATTTACATTCATAAAGAAAGATTACAGCCATCCTAAACATACCAATCCAGTTACAATACTGACTGAAGGTGAATATTGTCATTATAAAATGTCATATATGTTTTTGCAAATTAATCACTATGATACCACAAGATTTGAGGTAACTGTTGCGTTCTGCACATATGATAACCTCAATTTAACAATTGGGGTCATTAAAAAGGGAATAGAAGATATTCTGTTCAATCCAGAACTCACTGGTTTCCTCCTTTCACATTGGGTATGTAAATCCCCATAGAAATAATAAGCAAGACAATGATGAATTCTATTTCAAAATAAGTAAAATCAATTACAACATTATATAATATAATTCAACAAATTACATATGCCATCTGTGAAATAACACCAGATGTGTGTGTGTGGGTTAATAGCAGCGCTTCCTAGGACACTACACTCGAGTCTTGTGGAAAGACAGTTCCTATTATAGAAATGGGCTAGTTAATTATTCCTGAATTTTCACCGAACCAGAGGGTTCGCAATCCCATCATGGCTGAAATCATTTCATGGGGTAAAGTACAAATTATACTATTTGTTGCCAAAATTACATTACTGTATATCGAGCACTGTTTACTCATATATCCATATTGTTAAGAAATTCTTCTTGTGTGCAGAGCACAACAGTAACCTTGTTGAAAACAACTGGATAGACATCCTTCAATTGTGCTGTCTATAAAAATCCTCTACTCCCAGACATTACAAATACTGTTGTAGATATGAAATATTGTTTTAATTCATTAGAGATCATGTGATATTTTTAATCCACCAGACAACTTATATTATGGTCTATTTGTATAAGTTATAAAAATAATCAGCCTTTATCAGTGAAAATGTTTACATTAATAAAAGAACAATGATAAATTAAAGAAACCAAACAATTTACAATTTAAATAAGGATAATGCCAATAACCTAAAGAACATTTAATATAAGTGTTGAAACAATTTTATCAGTGATTATACAAGGGACAAAAAAATACAACGAAAAATGTAGTTACTCCTTATGAATTTGTAAGATTTTTGGAAATAAAAATATTGATATTAAGTGAAAAAATAGGAACTTTCCCTTTATATTTTGACAGCTAAAGTTTCAAATTCAAATGGCGAACAAAAAATTATTTTTGACACATATGAATCTTATTTAACACTCAATACAGAAGAAAAAAATACAAGACTTTTATGATCTGAAGATTCAACGAAAAATACCTGAAAATAGTAAACTTTTGCAAAAGCAAATATAAATCTAATCCATCAATATTAATTCTGATGCATAACTCTTAACAAACATTAATACACCAATATGGACCAATATGAAGCAAGTAACATCAAAAGCAGTTTAATGTTAGCTGCTATCCGTAAAATTGAATAAATGTTGCTTGCATCACTGATCGCAACTTCGTCGGATTTTGATTAGGTAAATCCCCCAATTTAAAATTAAAGTTAGAGTATTTCTAAAATCAAAATTTATTAAAAATAACTATTAAATAATACCTATTCTTTTTTGTTTTGGAGTTTTGGAATTAGAGAAAGAAGTTCACACTACTATGGCCTTATTAAATGTAAATAATTCTCCTATTATATCAATTAAAGTATGGCAACTACTTCAACTATTAAGAATGTCATGCTTAAAATCAATGGAAGCAGTGACTAAAATAATAGGTAGAGAAAAATATAATGACTTTATCTTCAGTGACAATTTTGACAAAAGGGCTTGAAAATATTTATATTGAAATGAAAAATGAAGATCTATTGCCTTTAATTCAAAATATGGTCGGGCAGGTTTTAAAAGGTATTTTGGATCGTATGGGAGACTTGGAAAACTCGCAAAGTTTGCTAGTGTCTAGTTTTATTGATCCTAGATTTAAAAATGTGGGATTTACTTCCAATCGTGCAGCTGAACGAGCCAAGGAATTCATTATTAAATTGGTTACTCAAAATTTTCCAAATCTACAGAAACAAACCAATCATCTTTCACTTCCACAGAAAATTGTTCTGTAGATCAGCCTTCTGTATGGGGTCATTTTGAAAAAAAAAAACTGCTATCTTTTCATTGAAGACTATAGTATTTACCACATCTAGGACCAGAATTAACCCATTAATGGCCAAATTATCGAAAACATTTTTTTAATTATTTTTTTTTACGGTTTTCATATGATGATTATTATATTTTATGTATGGGTCTTTCATATAGATAGTTTATTGACGTGTTTGTTATTTTAATGGTCTAAATTATGTGCTGCATTGTTTTTAAAATAATAAACAAAACACTCCAAATTTACTAGTATCTGTCGGTGTCGTTTGAGCTCGCATAATATATCACAAGATATTTAAAATTCGACCAAACCGGCATTCTTTGTTCAATTAGAGATTGTAGAATGATATTATCCAAACATAATTTGAAATATGACTACTCATAAAATTTTATAATACTTTAAAGATAATGTTTCGTTTACGAAACTTTGGCGCGATCCCTAAATATATTATCCATATTTGATAGTGAAAGAATTGCAAGCTATACTGGAGGATGATTCTGATTTAGAAGAAGCGGATGATATAGATGCAGTTTATATACCTCCTTTAGTTGATGTGTTAACATATGAAGAGGATTTGAATGATAATCTTCTTATAGAGGAAGAAGCTTTGACTGATATCGCTGGTACATTTGAGATTCACACAAGGTCTCGAGAAGAGGCTAAGACGCCCACAGAATCCATATTGGAACCATCTACAAGAAGGGGGAAGAAAAGAAAAGTAAATTCTGAACGAAAATGCAAACCAACGCAATATACACCTGACTGGTCTAAATCGTTAGAAAACTATTCCTCTTCTCCAAAAGACAATGAATTTAATAAAAAGGAAGAAATAAAGCTAAGACTGGCTGGGAAAACACCATTTGAAATATTCTCTTTATTTTTTGACGATATTTTATTCCAGAAGATACTCGAATTCAGCCTGACGTATGCCCGGGAAAACAACAGACATGATTTTAAACGCTCTCCAGCTCAACTGCAAAAGTTTTTTGGTATTTTAATCCTTACCGGTTATCATACACTTCCGGCGTGTGATATGTATTGGTCAAAAGACCCAGATAAAGGCGTGGAGCTGGTAAGAAAGTGCATGAGTCGAAACACCTTCCGAAACATAAAAAGAAATCTTCATGTCTCTGACAATAATGACATAGACAAAATTGATAAATTTGCCAAAATACATCCATTATTTTTGCTGATGAACGAACGATATTTTCAGTTTGGACTATTTTCTCCTAATATGTCTATAGATGAACAAATGGTTCCTTATTTCAGCCGACATTCTGCAAAGATGTTTATGAATTGTAAACCAGTGCGTTTTGGCTTCAAAGTCCGGTGCTTGTGTAGCACAGAGGGATATCTATACCAATTCATTCCTTATGATGGCGCAAATCCAGAAAGGCAGAAATCACAATACACGTTAGGGACGCAAGTAGTTTTGGATCTGCTACGTGTAATGCAAAGCCCTTCAGATCATAGAGTTTTCTTCGTCAACTTCTTTTCGAGTTATGCACTATTTCACATTCTAGGTGAAAAAGGAATTTTCTTTACTAGCACCGTGAGAGCGAATAGGTCACCAGGATGTCCTCAACAAAGTAGCAAAGTGCTTGGAAAGAAAAACAGAGGCGAGTTTGATCATGCTTTCGACAAAAAGGCAGAAGTATCAGTTGCAAGGTGGAACGATAATTCCGTTGTAACTGTAACCAGCAACAATGGAACGGTTCATCCAATTGTTACAGTTAAAAGATATAATCAGAAGCTACGAAAGGAAGATTCAATACCTCAGCCCAATATGATTAACGGTTATAACCGACATATGGGAGGTGTTGATCTCCTAGATAATTCGGTATCAAATTACCGGATCCGAGTAAGAAATAAAAAGTGGTGGTGGCCCTTGTTTATGAACCTCGTGGATTGCACAGTTGTAAATTCACGGAGAATTTACAACATTGCAAATGATTCTCGAGTCTCCCAATTGCAATTTCGTTCTTCGTTGGTTTTGTCACTGATACAGAACGAAAAAAGATTTACGATAAAAACAGCTGCTGAAGAAGATGACTCCGAATCAGACCCAGGGCCAAAGCCATCCACATCCGCATGAGGTCGTCCTTCTAAAGGAAGTTTACCTTCTGATATTCAATATGACCAGACTGGTCATAATATCGTTCGCGAAGAGGATGGACGTAGACGGCGGTGCAGACTGTGCAAAACTAATTCTGTTTATATGTGCGGAAAATGCAAGGTTCACTTGCACGCTGACTGTTTTAGTGCTTTCCATAAAAAATGAGATGCCATAATGGCGCTACTGCCATACTACCAGACTGTTAAGTAATCATTTTATTTTATATAATTAACTATTGTAGCAATACCTTTAGTTTTAATTGATAAAATCAAGAAATTTCATTTACACACTATAAAACGTATAATTTTCAATTTACTACACATATTATGCCAAAGTTTCGTTAACGAAACATTATTTTTTTGTATATTGCAATTATTATTAATAATAATTTTAAGTGAAATATTGTTCTTATGCCTTTATTTATAAAGTATATAAACTTAAATTGCAAAAAATCTAAGTATTTCAATGCTTGGCCATTAATGGGTTAAGGTTCTGCAATACTTAGAGGAAGATCTCTTAGACAGAAATGAAGATCCACTACAATGGTTACAAATAGCAAATAATAACGACCAGTATTATATCATAGCGACTGCTTTATTATTTTAATAATGCTCTATCAAAAATGCTTCACTATCTGTCAATGTTCAATCATAAATTGTAAATTTCAGAAGTTTTTATTGTATATGCATTTAATTATTATCTTTAATTTAATTAAAATCTATGAATTTTTATATAATTTCAATGCATTTCTATTATATACAGTAATTTAATTAATACTATTAATTTTTTATATCATTTTAATTAATTTTATTGTATATACATTTAATTATTATCTTTAATTTAATTAAAATCTATAAAATTTATATAATTTCAATGCATTCCTATATTATGTGAGAGTATGAAAAACTGAAGATATGGCAACTCTGACACCATTTTTAAGCTTACATTAAATGTCAGATATAAGTTTGGTTATAATGAGTCTCCTAAACTAATCATTGCCCAAAGTATGTCAAAAAATTACAATATCAAATCCCTCTGATAGCACTAGTGATGTCAAAGATAAATTGACTATTATTCGGCCCTTTAAATAAGAAGTGTTGATTAAATATAACATAAGAATACCAGTTCTAAAAATCTACTATTAATAGATTTAAAATTATTATTAAAACTATATGATCAGTCACATGGACAGAAAGGATAAAGAAATTTCAATAAAAGACTTTTTGCTTCACTGACTTGGTTATAAATGAAAAGCTCCAGGAATAAAAATATATTTATTTTAAAGTAGTTTCCTAAATAGACACCTACTAGTTTAACTGGATTTACTTATAATTCAAAATTTTAAACTAATAGAATATAAACATTTGTGTTTCAGGTTTGCATAGGTGACAAATGACTCACTGCTTAAATGTATTGCTCAAATTTAAATACCTCCTGGGTATATTCTTCATGCATGCCTTATACAATGATTAATGCATGCAAATGAGTAAAACCTACACATTAAAGTCGTTTTCGTGAAGATATAAGGTCAAAAATGTAAATAAAATATTGAGGACACATTACCTTTTCTATATTGTATTTTTCTATCGCCTGGGTAGCGCAGTCTACAGCATCTTGCTGCATGTCTTCGCTCATATCGGCATTTTTAATAACTGCTTTGCGGTCAGTCATTTTGGGTCCCTTAGTATCTGGAGAATTTGACCTGAAATGTAAAGGAACAGTGTAAGATTGGCGCAAAAAATTAGGTTAAAAAACTAAGACACCTTTTTTTATAATGAACATTCCTTATTCTAACCAGGGCATGGGCTCTCAGCTCGCCCATAACTGGTACAACTAAGGACCATGCTGTTTTATCAATAGATCATGACATATTTTCAAAATCTATCATGCAATATATTAGGGAAAAATTGATTTTAACGTCTCATCGCCGAGACGGCACATGCATGCGGTTATACCGAAGATTATTACCATAAAAGTAATACTTACGTGAATTTTACGTTCGTTCACAAACGGAGAAGTAAAAAAAGTGTACGATTTGTGACTTTTCACGTTCTATAATTTTATTATTTTGTTGAATAAAGCGATATTCAATTTTTTGATACCTTTCTCCCTGGCGCGTATGATCAACTGCCAAAAATTGCACAAATATCATCGCTCATTGGCCCACGTTAGAGGCATCTGGCAGAGGCATCTGGCAAATCGACTGCTATTGGCTGCTACTAAATACAATATCAGTGCAGAGGAAAAGGGGATATATCACTTTTTACCATGCGCGTAACAATATAATTTCTCTAGGGATGAAGTTAAGATGCATGCGCGTCACAAATAGAATTTCTGATACAAAAAATGGTTAAATTCTTTCTTTTCTCATAAAAAATTAGGTATGTAATTAAAATATTAAAGATATATTACCATTTATACGTTAAAAATTAAAAAACATTGTTCTTCGATCATGTTTTTTGCCATTTCTTTTGATATTTAGGATCCTTGTTATCAATAATTTAATATCTAAATAAGTACGTGATTTGCAAATAATTATTAATTGATAAGCACCTTTAAATACATCGTGAAAGGACTTATTTGTATATTTTCAATCATATTCGCTGTGGATTCCATTAATAACATATTTAGAACCAAGGGTGTAGCGTGCATGGATAAAAACCAGCTACAAACTTACTTATAATACTAAATACGGCCGTTAATCCGTCTATCATATTGTAGCAGCAATCATAAAAACAAAGTGAACAGAAAATATCCGCAAACCTTGAAAAATTTCATACTAACACCAATGAGATCAAAAAATATTGGTAGACCCTAAAAAGTGTCTTCTCGTAACATGCAAATAGGTGTTAAAAAAATCGGTAAGAAAGATAATTGGATGAATTACGAGATATTGAATATGCTAGATCAACTGAGTCAAGCAAAGAACAAAGGCAGTTATAAATATAGAACCACTTAGAATGAGAACGGAAAAATGATAAGGGAAACAAAACAAACTTCCAACTGGCGAAAAACTAAAAACGATGAAAAGAATGCATAGAAAAACCTATTTTTAGAAGACGAGAGAGACAACCTAAAGCACGTTTTTTTAGAAAAAGAGAAACAAGTGCAGGAATTACAGACGAAATGGAAAATGTCCTGAGACAGACGCACTGCCTATTGACTTTCTTAAAATAATAAAATATGTGTACGTAGATGTCGTGGTAAAGCTCTTTAATAAAATTTACCAATCGGATGACATATCCAACGAACAGTTTACTCTGACTTTCATTTATTTATTAAAAAAGAAAACTTCTGGATAATGCAACTTTCACTGAACCATTAGCGTAATGTCGCACACACTGAAAATGATTCTAAAGAATATTCATAATCGCATATACCAAAGACTTGACATAGTCATAGAAGAAACGCAATTTGAATTCCTTAGAGGTTCTGTCTCTCTCTCTCTCTCCCTCCAATGACGCTACAGCCCAAGTCGAGCCTTGGCTTCCTCCAAAGTATGCTTCCAACATTGCCAGCCCCCGCCGATCTTCTCCAGGTTTTACCGTCTAGCAAATTTTGCGCATTCGCTGCCAATTCATCCTCCCACCTTTTTGTGGCCTTCCTTTTGGTCTTGCGTCCTGAATTTTACTATCTTACGGTCTCCTTTCTCACTACATGGCCAGCCCATCTAAGTCTCTTAAGTTTAACGAATATAGAAAATTATAGAGAATTAATATAAGCAGCGCAAAAACTGCGCATTAATGAGCACACGTTAGAAAAAAAATCGAAATGAAAAGAGGAGTGCGACAGGGTTGTGTATTTGTCGTCACTGTCATTTTTCAACACATAAGTACTCTGAAGAAAACATGAAACGAATGCTCGAGGAGAAACAGCTGGAATAAAGGTATATGGAACACCAATTAACAACATTAGGTTGTCAACCGCCTGAGTACCATAGTTAAACCAATATTGATCCCACAACAAGCAGGGTTTAGACCCAATAAAAACTGTACGGCACAAATTGTTAATCTGACTTAGTTTATTGAAGATGGTTTCTAGAGACGGTAGATCACTGAATAGCCTCGGTCGATTTGACTGTAGCATATGACACAGTGTAACATAATATCCTTTTACATAAAATAAATTAGATTGCGTGGGACCCCATATTTACAAACAGGGTTCGCACCCTTTTGCAGAACCGTATACTCTATGGAGATAGGCAGAAGGGCAGAATAAGTCGCTGGAGACCTCAAAATAATATACTCTCGCAAGGAAGCCTCCTGACTTTAATACTTTTTAACAGCTGTAACAACGACCAACAACAACCGCAAAATTCAAGAAGGTTCTTAGCCCAAAACTTTCAGCTAGCTATCAGTTTTTTATCTTAGATGTAGAGAAAACACAACATACAAAGCATTACATACAAAACGCATAAAAACAAAGAATAGAGTAGCTACCGGCAATAACATAATACGGAAGCTTACTGGAAGTAAATGGGGAGCCAATCCGTCGGTGTTAGGAGCCTCAGCTTTGGCTATGTTACTCTGATGAAGCAGACTACGCTCGACCGCTCGGTCAAAGGTCTAAAGTCAGCATTAAACAAGACTTGCTGAATAATTACGGGATGCTTAGATATATGTACCACTGCAGCCAACATCGAAAGAAATAAGATGGAAAGTAATGAGGCGCAACCTATACACCAATTTATCAGCCACCAAGAAGCCGACTAAAATCGAGAAAGAGTTTCCTACATAGCTCGATTCCATTAGACATGCCACTAAGCATAGCAAGGATATATATATGGAAGGATAAGCTGTGCCATCTACCACAATGGAGTCACCCCACTGAGGCCTTACCACCTATCGGAGACGTGAACTGGAAGGGATTATCCATGCCCTTAGGGGAATGAGTACGAATACACATCAATCGAACTATTCAGCGCAGCTTCATCTAGGATCAGAATAGCCATGATCATTACCAACCTCTATCGCGGAAATGTTATGTAAATAAGAAAATAGAAGGTTTTAAATTGAATTTATAGAGTGCTACAATATTCGTTTCGAAAAAGACGATGATTTTGAGGTTCTGATTGAAGATGATACACAAGTGAACGTATGGAAAAGTTTAAATATCTTGTAGAAGTTATGGATGAGGAAGAGATACGCAGCCAAACTACAAAATTTAGTCCAGGAAGCACGTTAAGTTATAAAAATACTGAATTTGATATGTTGGATAATAATATAGGAAAAAGCAATAAAAACAGTAGCGTTCAAAATTCCTATGATCATCTGCTTTCTGGAATACCAGAAGACATTTGACTGTGTAAATCGGAATAATGTATGGAACGTTTTAAACAAGATTTGATTTTAAGATGCTAGACAAACGGTTAGATAGAGAATAAAAACAGAAGTGGCCAAACTATGATCGATTCATTCGTTGCCCTTGCATATGGCTGCGATATATCGGCAATAAAAAAAGAAAAAAACATGTAGATAGAATGGAGGAATCCAAAAAGGTGACCAAAACGAATATTTTCAAGACAATAAATCGTGCTATGAGATCCATAATTTAGAAGAAGACTTAGCTCAGGATGGTATAACTTAAAGGTGGGGATTGGAAACGGAAATGTAGCAACTCGTTGTATGATTATTTTGCAATATATTTGTGTTATATATGATGTGTTATATACTCTCTCAAAGTGAAGATGATTACCAACGCATGCTGCAGAAATTTAATATAACGTTTAAAACGTGTTTAAAACAGTTTAAACGACAACTGTGCATAAACCAAAAAAAGTGATCCCTTGCAAAGGAGTTAAACAAGTGAGTCAAGTAACTAGTGCCGAAAGAGGGACTTTGGTAACGACCTGCTACTTCATAAGTGCTTCAGGAAACACGATTCCACCAGCTATTATATTTTCTAGGGCTCATTTTAAACCGCATATGCTTCGTAATGCGCCAACTGGTAGTTTGGGACTTGCAACACCTTGGGGCTGTATGAACAGCGAGTTGTTTGTAGAAGTTATGCGTCATTTCATAAACCATACAAATTCCTCAATCAAAAATCCAACATTCCTGTTGTTCGATAACCACGAAGCCATCTTTCAATTGAATGAAGACAGTAAAAAAACGATTTATCCAATCCAAAAATAGTTCTTTAAGTGACGAAGCAGAATCCCTGAACAGCTCATCTGAATATGATGCCGACACTGATGCTCCAATAACAGGATACGAAGAACTGGATAGAAATGCAGTCATTGATGACTATGTTCTTGTAAAGTTCGCAAGAATAAGTCTTTACAATATTTTGTTGGCAAAATTTTGACTAATCTTTGTGATGATTTCGAATATGAGATCAATTATCTGAAAAGAAAAAATAAATCGAACAAGTTCTTTTATCCAAATGTTTCTGAAGTTGCTAGTATTTTATCGCAAGGCATAGTGATGATTTTACCTGTACCAGTGTTATATGGAAAAACAAAGAGGCAAAATAATTGTGTTCAGTTCGAAGTGAATTTTGGCGCACTACATGTTCAATGAACGATGTCTCATTGTGGACCACTGTGTGTCTCAGTGTGGACCACCGTGGGACACAGTGAGATACTTTGCAACATCAAAAAGAATTTTTTTACGACTTATGTTTTCAAGTTCAAATATGTTTCTGTTGTGTATTTTTGTAAAATAAAGACCATTTACAGCATTATTTGTTTGTTTTCAATATAAATAGAAAAAGTTGTGAATAAATCTCCAATGACTAAAAACCGTCTCACTGTGGACCACTCTCCCCTACCCTTCATATGTTAATTTCAAATCAGCATTTTTTTCTTATTTACTAAAATGTTATTAGGTAATCTAAAAATAAGTATTTATTTATAAAATCATAAGTAACATTAAAATACCATTTTTTTAATACAATCTATAAACTTTGTCATGATCTACGCAGTAAGTGCATTTATGCTAACTCAATTTGTTGATTTAAACATTTTATTGTAAAATATGTTTAATTTATTGAATTCTCCACACATTAGGATAAAAATTTCTCAGCAGTCATCATGCACCAGCCATCAGCAGTTGATACGTTAAAACATGTGTTTCAAAGAAAAATATGAACTTGGGATATTCCGCAGCCCTTTGCCTACGCCAAGGGCAAGTGCATGCTTCGCGGTATGGGAAATATTGATTACATCCTCATATCAATCAGCGCCGGATACAAGCATTTAATTAAAAGCTACAGTAGGTTTTCCAACAAACATCGAATCACATGCAAAATTTAATCAGAAAGGAATACATGCAGCGAAAAGTCAAAATATCCGTACCAACGTATGCTCAATTTAACGTCCTCAGAAAAGGAGGCTTTTAAAACAGTACTCATGAGCCATTTATTTGAGGGTTTGAACAAAATAGGTGTATCTAAAAGCAATAAATAGTATCAAAAACATTCCAATCGTAATTGATACAAAATTACAAGTAAAACAAGTGAGCACAACGGGTGATTATATTTCAAATATCAAATCTAATTGCACTTCACACACAACAAAAAACACCACGTGAAAAACTGTACACTGCATGCAAAAAACCGAACAATAAAGCCAAAAAAAGAATTAAATGAAAAATCTTATACCTAAACTAATAAACCTGTCTTCTCTGCGCCGTAAAATTGGTAATTAAAAAGTGTACGCATATGAGACGGTGGTAGTTGAAAGCTGGAACGAACAAACCCGCTAAATTCACTTTCCTTTCGGCGACGGCGGTAGAAAAATCGATGCAGATTCGCATGGCGCAGTCTCTAAATTTAGTGTTATTTGAAAACAGCATGCAACAACTTTGAATTGGCACCGTAAGGTATGCCAGTAAGGAGATAATTAATCAACGAAATATCTTTATTTCGTGTCTCTGCAGTATATCTATCTAGTACAAGGTGGTCTACTTCTATTGGAGTAGAAACGACGGGACTAAATATTGTAATAGACATTATAAATATTAAATTAAATCATCGAAAACTTCCACAGCCGGTGTCAGAATTAATTAATCGTCTTACTGGTATAAATGAGTCTGTTTTGGAGGATCCACACGGGGTTGCTGTGGCGCAGGAGATCAGAAAACGGCAAATCTCATACTTATCTCTAAACCGGAAAAGAATCAGAGGAGCTTGGGGCTATATGCCTGTTAAATACCTTAGGCACGGTCTTTGAGATTCTTGTGAGGACAAGGCTGAAGGGGAAAATAATGAAGATCCGGGGATCAAGTAGGAGATATCCATATGTAGGGCCAGATGGATGGTGGCTTTCTTCTTTGATGTAAGAAATGACTTTAATAGTGCTAGCTGAAGACTAGCTCACTGAAGGAGAACGACTTGGCTTGAAGATTAATATAGACAAGTCGAAGGTAAGGCTGGTTAGTAGAACACGAAATATACAGTATTGTGCAAATTAATGGAATCACTGTGAAATTTTTTTCATTTTTTCAATATTCACAAGAAAATGTTTTGGGGATGTTTTTCATACATGGGGGTTGGATCTTTGGTGCCAATTGAAGGCATGATGAACAGCCAAAAATACAAAATCCATGTTGGAAAAGTATTTGGACAAACAACTCCAAAAGTGTCAACCCCAAGGAGGAGCGATTCTTCAACAGGACTCTGCTCCCTGTCACAAATCAAAGGAAATGATGGCATTTTTCAAAAATAAGAAGATTAATGTTTTAGATTGGCCCGGTAATTCGCCCGACCTCAACCCCATTGAAAATGTATGGACCCATTTGCAAAGCTAGACTGCGAAAAATCGACTGTACCGCTAAAACAAAAATGATAGAAGCGGCGATTCAGGTTTGGTATCGAGATGAAAGGATATCTGACAACTGCCAGAAACTCATAGAATCTATGCCAAAACGGGTAAAAGCAGTAATTGCTGCCAAAGGGGGACATATTTCCTACTGAATGATGTAAGTTTACCTTTATAGTTTTGTCAAAATATAATTTTTTACTAAATAAACTGTTTTATCATTAAAACAGCCTATGATTCCATTAATTCGCACAATACTGTACAATTAAATATAATAGTAGACAATAAGTACATCCAGAAGGTCCCCAAGTTCAGATATCTTGGTAGTTGGATAACGTTGGAAAACTGAAGATCCAGACATAGAGTTAACTTGAAAAAAATAAAAAGAAGAAAAACTGCTTTTCTGGGGCATATATTTCGAAATTTAAAGTACCAGTTCTTAAAGCTTATTATGAAAGGGAAGATAGAAGGAAAACGGGGCATCGGAAGAAAGAAATACTCATGGCTTAAAAACATAAGGGATTATACAAACCTTGATGCCCATGCACTCTTTAGAGCCACACTAATGCATTTATTGAATTGTTCCATATATAATTAATCCACAGTATAGGTGAGATTGGAATAAAGAAAAATATGTCATTTTTAATGTTTCAATGTTAACAACCCTTGCTAATTGGGATTGGAATAACACATGAACTTAATAGCTTTTTCTTTAGTCATGCGATATGAGCCGACCAGTTAAGTCGATTATCTATTGTTATTCCCAATAGTTTAACAGTATCTTTGCTACCTGGATCATTATGTAAATTACTTGTAGATATAACCAAATTTTACATTTTAATAGAGTTAAGTTTTAGTTTGTTGGCAGCAAACCATGTGCTAGATTTAATACAAACTTCCTCATAAGGCATTTTTAAATCATCAATATTTTTCCCGATATAACGTATGTCGTATCATCTACGAATTGTACGGATTTGTACGGAGATATGAACTTAGGCAAATCGTTGACAGAAATAATAAACAAAAGAGGTTCTAAGACCGAACCTTGTGGGACTCCATGCTTTACCTCTGATTCCATAGTAAATTAATTTGTGGAGCAAAATGTGTAAAACGCAGTCAAAAGACTTCGACAAGTCGTAAAGAGAAATTGCTATGCGATTGCCGCGTTCAAGCCTCTCAAACACCTCGCTCACAACATTAAATACTGGTGTTTCGGCTGATTGCCTTTCTCAAGTGATCTATTTTGGCTTGGGTTTACAAATTTATGGTCTCTAATGAAATAGGTTGAGGAGGAGAGAACTGTTTGTCTCAAGTTGGTCATTCAGAATTATATCTGTTTTTTAATTTGTTAATTTCCATAGATTCTAACAAAGATAGTTTAAGGCCTTTATTTTGAATGTGAAGAATTTTAAATTTGTCATTAAAAGAATGATTATGATCTAGAAGGTGAAGTGCGTATGTCGAATCTGTTTTTCTATTCTTGAAAGCCCTTTTATGTTCTGCTATTCGTTTATCAAAGTTTCTACCAGTTTGACCGATGTAAGTTTTTGGGCAGTCGCCACATTGAAGTTTGTACACACCACTATTTAAGTGTTTTTTATTTTGGCTCTTGTTATTTTTAATATATTTGCCTAGGTTGTTATTTGTTCGGAAAGATGGTGTTATTCCTTTCTTTTTTATGTTTGGCAATTTTTGTTGTTATTTTGCCTGTATATGTAATCGAGCAGAAGGTACTGGGTTTTTTCTCTGGTGGTGGAAATACTAATTTCAGGGCTTTCTTGTGTAGTTTTTGATTTAACATTTTATTAATTGTTTGTTCGTTGTATCCGTTGTTTACTGTTATTTGTTTAATTATATTTAATTCTGTCTCAAAGTTGTATTTTGACATCGGAATTTCTGTTAATCTATGTAACATACTATGATAAGCTGTCAGTTTATGTTGTGTTGGATGGGATGACGAATTGTGTATAGTCGTGTCAGTATGGGTAGGTTTATGAAATATGGAGAAGTCATGTTTGTTTTGAAGTCTGCTAATTTTAAATCTAAAAAATTTATGGATTGATTTTGTTCTGTTTCTATTGTAAATTCAATATGACTATGAAGTGAATTAATATATGATAAAAATTGGTCGAGTTAAAATTTAAAATAAATTTTGTGGAAGTTTGAAAACAAAGTTTTCAGTGTTTTATTGTTACATAAAATGAATTTCCATCAAGTAACGGTCGAATCAATTATTAAATACTGCGTTCGTAGTAGAACGAGCACTTCTGAATCCATATTGTGAGTTCCTAAAGTAATTATTTGACTCAAAATAGGAATAAAATTGTTATTTGATAACCTTTTCAATCACTTTCCCAAAAGTAGAAACAATGCAATTTTTAAGGAATCGCCTTTTTTGTAGATAGGTAGTACTTTTGACTATTTTAGTACTTCTGGAAATACTCCTGTTGATAGAATTAAATTAATAAGATGAATTAAAGGTGTTAAAACCATTTGATAAGTTTCTTTTAAAATTTTGCTATTAATTTCGTGAACGTCCCAACAATTAGAATTACTAAGAGACTTATTTGAGAGACCTCTTCTTCCGTAACGAGACAAAAAAAGGACTTACTCGGAGAAGGATAATTTCTATAATTGAATAAGGCGTCGACATTAATAGTCGAAAGAGATGTAATTATATTCTCTGCAATTGTAGTAAAAAATTGATTTATTTACTTATAATGCTTTTCTGAATACATTCCGAATACAGATTAAATAATAGTGGTGATAAGACACAACCTTATCGCAATCCTCGTCGGATTCGTATATCTTCGGATGTTGTATGCTCTATTTTAATTATTGCCGTTTGGTGCCAATATAGTTCTGAGATAATTAGCAAGTCTTCTTCTTCTTCTTTTTATATATGATATGACTCTGTCTGTTTTTCAATGTTCCTCCATTAAGTTGGCATTCCATCGTTTTCGTGGTCTTCCTATTGATCGTCTTCAGTAGTAAGTAATTCAGGATTATTTTTATTTTACATAATACTACGCTATGGTCGCTATCTGCTGAGTTGAGGCATCTTGCGTCGATTATTGTTGATAGATGTATATCTCTGTTGGTTATAATGTAATATATCATAGATCTTTCTCCATGGGTGTTATTAAATATATATTTGAGTTGGTCTAAAAAATGTGTTTGTTGTTTATTCTTGGTTCGTTATTCGTGCAGAAGTTGATAATCAGTTCTCCTTTTTCGTTTTTAACATTCTCGTTGTTTTTGTTTGATGCCGGGTATTACTTGGTTGCCTATTCGAGCGTTAAAATCCCCGAATATTATCATCTTTCCTCTGACTTGATCTACTATTGTTCTAATTAGACGTAAAACGCTTCCCTTGTTGTTTGAGGCTTATTATATTATTTTCTGGGCCGTATACTCCGATGATGTTCAGCCTTCCTTCTACATTCTTATCTTTGCTGTTACTATTCTTTCTGATATGTATTGACACTCTTTGATGTGATTTTGCTACCTTTGGTGTATTAGTAAGGCTACACCTTCTTTGGCCCTGTTTTCTTTTGCTACTCTACTGTAGATTAGTATGTATTCACCTAATTTTGATTGACCTTTTCCTTTATTTTTTGTTTCCTGTAGAGCACAAATGTTTATTTCTTTCTCTTTCAGCACTTGGGTTATTTGTTGGTCCCTTGAGTTAAGTGATCTGATATTCCAAGTAGTAATTCTCATCTGGGTTTTGGATGTTTTTCGCTTGTCTTATTTCTTGCCGTAGTCGTCTTCATAGTATCAATCCGGTTCCGAGGCTGTACATTGTTTCTTTGAACAGTATTTGTTTTTACGACTGGTAGGTTGCTAGCCTTGCCAATCACCCTCCACATTTTATGAGAGCTAGCAAGTCTTGTTTGTCAATTTCAGTTGTTCTCAGAATTTCGATCATTTTTTAATGGTTAACGTAGTCAAATGCTTTTCGATAATCAATAAAACATGCATATACATCTACATTCATGTCTCTGCATCGTTGTGTTAACACATTTAATTCAAAAGGAGCTTTAACTTTAATTCATCTGAAACTCACACTTTTTGTAAATTCACACAGATCTAGATCAGTCTATTGTTGACCGTTATAATACCAGACATTATTGCAAAATAAAACAATCCACCAAATTTTACGATTTTTATTAAATTTTAGTTATTTAAAATACAGTACATAAGCATTCAATACAGTCGCAGCCTCAAAAATAAATATATTAACAGTAAATATAAAACTACAAATCATGAATTCTTTATCTAAAAAGTCTAGTTGAAGTATTTTTTAAGAGTGGTATCTTTAAGGCTATCTCTGATATAAGCTTGTTACCTCTTCTTTGATTTTATAACAATATATTAAGTGTTTCATTAAAAATTACATTTTTGTAATAAATGATGTACTTTATAAGTAAATCTTAATAGCTAAATAAAGGTTTTTATTAATTAAAAACAAAAATAATAGGCATAGCTAGGACACTGTACTGTGACGTCCTGGGATTCACTGGGGTTCAGAAAATTTTGACAGAATTATTGTTAGAAACATACAACAAAAAAAAAATCCTACCACTTGTTAGTAATATCTTAAGTAAACTTACATTGCTTACTTAATTAATTTAAGAGGATAAGAATAATCAGAATAATGGGAATACAAAAAAATGGTATTGGTGTAAGTCTATGAATGCCAATATAAGCTTTCTGTTATTCTTTATCATTATTAATGATTGCAGCCATTTTACCAAATAAACAAATACAAATTAGGCATTCTTCTTTTTTTTGCAATCTTCATTACAATTCGGAAGTTTTTAGGACATTTTGTCTTTCCCGATTCTATATATTTTCCATAGCCAGTTTATCCCTTTTTCTCCCACATAATTTTCTATTTATATATCATCATATTACTTCTCCTTTTCTTATTTGCTCTAGTTCTTTGCTGCTCTCGTCTTGATACGTTTCATTTTAATCACTTATTATTTCATTATTACATTTATTCTCAGTTCATCTGGATTTAATTTGTTATCTCTCTAAAGGTCGATTCAGACACATCAGTCCAGTCACAGTCTCAGCGCCGAACCGGTCCTGTTTGGTCACAGAACTATTAATTATCTGACAGCTGGGAAACTGTTCGTCGCCTGATGAATGTGAATGCCGGCGCCATATTTCTATTAAAGAATATTTTGTATGACGGATTGTTCGGTTCGACGCCAGGACTGTGACGAGACGTGACTGATGTGTCTGAATCGACCTTTACTATCTTCATTTCTTTGCGATTCAACTTGTCTGATTGTCATCCAAAAACTTCAGAATATTTTTGTTGTATTTTCACATTCAATTTCTTTCTATATTCACATAAAAATAAGTTTTTATTAGAACTTAATTGTATTTTTTTAATTAAATATACATTCAGTGAAAAGTATGAATTTTTTAGGTTATGTTTTGATTCTTTTTTACGTCTTTAATTCTAGCCAAAATACTCTACAAAAGGATGTTAAAAATGTAACACTTTATTTAAAATTGTTTATCTGATACTTAAAAGACAAACAAAAATATCTGATTGTCATCTTTTTATTGCATACAAGACTTGTAATTTTAAGAACAAGTGGTTAAAACTATTGAGATATCTAATGATCATGATACTATAACAAAACAAGATAAGTCCACGGGCATGTTCTTGCATCTCTCTCACACACCTGTGACGTAGGCCCGAGACAACTTTAATGACGGCAAGTTAAATGCTCTTAAGTGTTAATGTTAATTATGTTGCTGTATTAATCGAGTTTGCTATCCTGTGTATTTCAAAACGTAGTGAATGATATTTTAGTAAAGACTTTGTATATTATATTGTTATATAAATTTTGTGGTGAAAACATTCAGTTTATGGTGTTAATATCCCCTAATTTGTTTATCGTACGCAACTTCCTCTCAACTACCTGTAGCTACTTTATAAAGAAGACTAATTTATTTGTTTGCCATAATATATTGTGTAGTGGAGGGTTGTTTAAACAATAATAATAAAAAATAAAACTTTTTCGACGTGTCGTTTTTGTGTTTTCTAGAGTCAAACAAATGCGTAAAGTATGGGTCTCCAAGTGTTTTCAGCGAGACAAATTTAATGTAGAAACGACGAGAATATGCTCAAAACATTTTACAGAAGCTGATTATTGCTTAAAAGCTAAAACATCGCTTGAAAATAGACGCAAAAGAAGAATGAAGAAAAGAAATGTATTAAAAAAACATGTAAGTATTTTGGATTTAGACACACTTTAACAGCAGAGCAAATGTTTCTATAGATAATAATATATACTTAAGCCCATTTTAATAGAATCTGAAGTAATACTTTATTTTTGATAGGTCTTTAAAAAAAGTTACTTTGGATGGAACATATTTTTCGTAGTTATAATGGCGACACATTAAAAATAACAAAAAATTATTAAAAAAAAAAAATATGTAAATGTTAGCGAAGATGTAAAATTCCTTTTTTTTAGATTTAAAATGTATTTTAAAATACGAATTCTAAATAAAAATATTAAAGATAATTACAATATCCGCAAGAGAAAAATCACAAAGATTGTAAAATAAATGTCTAAATGATATTCATAAAGTCTCAAGTATGACCCGCTTTTCCTTTATGGTCAAAGTCTTTACATTTTACCGGCCTTTTATATTTAATTTATGTTTTGTAGCAATATTTATTTTGTTTTAATACACACAATCAAATCGTAGATTTATATATTTCTTTAATTAATTTTACAAATTACTTATTAATTTTCAAACCACGTTTTCACAGAAAGTAAATAGTTATGACTTCTTAGTGCAAGATACGGCATCAAAGTATGCTTACCGTTAACAGTTTAAGTTTCGAAGTTGTTCATTACAGTAATGGAACAACGTTGCCATATGACGCATGGTTAAAATATGATACCATCGAGTTCATCTATGGAGAAGGCATCACGTGACTAAAAACGACCTCACTTCGGCCATATTGTTAAGAATTGTTTTGACACTTTTGACAGATCGTATATATTTGTTTACATTTGTTGTTTTTCGAATATTTTTAGTTTTATAATACTTTTATAGAAACTGTAATATTATATTGTGATAGTGCATAACATTGGTTTCTTGTTCTCAACGTAGTTGCAGTAACAGAAGCAATGGTAATAAAAAATCTTCAGGAATATCGTTCCACAGGTTAGTATACAAATATGTAAATAAAGTAATGGCCCGTACTTCAGAGAATAAATTAATAGTATTTGACTGTATTAATTTATCTTTATGTAATATATCGTGTTTTTAGTGTTTACCGCGGGATAAATAAATCATTGTTTATTAAAAATGTATTGCACTTTTTTAGATTATGATTAAATCTTCTGAATAACTATTCATATTTATATAGTAGTTTTAATATTATTGAGTCTGGCCCTGATCCCACCGCCATATTGGTAATATCGTTAGCCATGCCTACCTACGCCGTTTTTAATACATACGGTAATATGCTCATAGTACAGAATAAACAATCAGAATGCCCACTCTCAGATGCCGCCTTAGAATTTTTTTAGTACGCGCGCTATGTTTTAGAAGGAAACACATAACACAGGCATATGATTTGTGAGGTTATGTAATTGTTTATATTTATGTTTAATTATATTATATTTATGTTATTATATTTAACAATGTTCATATAATTGTATAGTATGTCTATGATTGCCGTAAGTCAATTAAACCGGGTTAATTTTTCTATGCACACCACATAAACAACAGTGGTTCCCTCTAAAACATGGCGGAACATCTGCGCGTACTTAATTTTCCATGGAGAGTGGGCATTCTGATTGTTTATTATTCTGTGCTCATAGCTTCTCCATAGATTCTAACTCATTGTATGATACACACAAGTCCCCTGGCTTTGTCTCGCTATGACGTCATGCGCAAAGTCGATTAAAATTAGAACGGCAAGTGAGCATATCTTGTTTGTTATAGTATCATGTCTAATGACTAACAAAGAAATGTAGACATAAAAAAAGAATCTAGTGAGGTTTTCAGCCACTTATTTGGGTGTAAAATAAAATTTATAAAAACAAGCCCTAATTTAAGCCCCCACAAAGGGATAATTGGTCAGCCTCCTCAGTTAGTGCTTTATGTTGTGAGTTGGTTGTGTTAATAGTTTTATATTGCTTGTATTTAGAGTTGCATACCTCTAAATTAAGCCTCCACAAAGGCCAATTGGACAGTCTCCTCAGTTAGTGTTTTGTGTTGTAAGTTGCCTAACTGTGTTAACAGTTTGGTATTGTTTTTATTTAGAGTTGCATACCTGAGTACACAGAGCCATTATTGTAGAGGGGAAATCAGAGGTACAATGGAAGATTGCAAGATCATTATGAATTAGGGTACAAATGTGATTGTAATAAATTGCTTGATTTATGCATGTTAGCATTTCAGAAGTGTACATAATCAGTTCATGATGTAGGTAATTTTGCATAACTTTTCAGTGAAAATTGAACAATTCATAAAACAAAAAATGAAGTGTTGAAGTTTTGATATTACAGAAAATTACCAAAGAATATGATATCAAATATATGATGGGCAAGCAATGGATCAGAATTGCTATTGAGTAGACATCAAGGGTAATAAATAGAAGAGACCTATGTCCAGCAGTGGACGAATATGGGCTAAAGAAAAAGAAGAGGATGAAAAATTAGAATGTCAGGATTTAGGTTTTCCAAATAAATAATTATATCCTACCTGTATTTACACAACATTTACCAATCAAGTCTTTTTGATGATAGAGAAACAAGCTTTCTCTTTTATTTGTACTCTTAAAAAACACTTTTGTGTACCAACATTAAAAAGCAAGCCAGGGATGGTGTTCTAATGATTCTTTTGACCTATCACCGTAATCATACAACAGCTCTTCACCCTCTCGTATATAACCTTTAGCTGTTAGTATAAGCCTAGGAACACCGTCAACCATCACTGTTTTTGTAGTCAAGTTTCCGTTTCTGGAATGGTTAACTAACCTTCCCAGTCGGCCAGTTTCTTCCGTTGCGTCTACACTAAAAAATAGCATTACCTTGTGAGAATTACGAAACTACCAAACTACCAAAGGTATCATTTAAAGAATGAAACGATATAAAAACTAGCTCCACGGTTATTGTAGTAATCTTACCAGTAATGTTGTTCCTTAAATTTAAAATAATACATGTAGCACCCCATACTTTCATCTTTTTCATATCTTTCTTCTCGCAGATAGGCCTCTTGGATGTCAATCAATTCTCCACTATATTCTACCACAAATTCTCCTTTCATAAAATTTCTAGTTGCAAAAACACCTCTACCTTTTTCTTTACTATATTTTACCTAAAATTAAATAATATACGTCTATAGGCTGAAAAGTACATGATTCTAAACACTGAGAAACGCCTATTGCTACCCATTTAATGAACAGCCATATAAAGGACTTGGCTAGAAAGTCTTACTTGCACCTCTTTGTGATACTCTCTAAGTGACGCTAATGAGAAAGGACAAAAGGCATGTCTTTAGTAGATTGGTATTTTTCTTTTGGTAGCTTCAAACACAGCATCCATGAATCATTCAACAACAATGGCATTGTTGATAAACTTAGCTACTTCGCTTAACATGATATTATAAATAAATTGTCAAGATTGTAGAAAGTAGAATAAGATCTAGAATTTCTAACACTAAAAAAGAAAAATAATCCCAAAATGAATGATATAAAATGGACAAATTAAAAGATAACACGAAAAATGCAGAATATAGAAGAACAATAAACAGAAAATTAGAAAATCAACAAAAGCATGAAGATATCGGTGAAGCATGGGAAACATTATACAAGAAGCAGCAAAAGGGACACTGGACATTGAGAAAAAACAAAGATCAACATCAGAATGGTATGATGAAGAATGTTGCAACATAAAAGAAGAGAAAAAGACTCACACGAAAAGAACCAGAGGAAGAATATAAGCTACTGAGAAAGAAAAAGAAGAAAATACACTGAAGGAAAAAATATAAAACACAGAAAAAGAACTTTATGAACTAGAAGAAATGAAAAAAAATCAGAAACTACAAAATACTTCCAAAAATTGAATAAGAGTGGATGAATCAGACAACTTTAAAGCAGAACTGATAAAATAATGTGGAAACTCACTACCAAGTGCAATGCACGAACTGAAAAGCTTCTATGATGACTTTTTGGACAGATTATAAACTAATTTTTCAGTAAGTTTGATGATTTAATCAATGTTTAAACAATCATCCAATGAAATTAAACAAATACTTTTATGGAAAAATCATTCCTTTTCCCCTAAACTTTGGTTTGGAAAAGAATCCAGAAAAGAATATATTAATCCCCAAGAACAAATTTAAGTATACCTTAGATATACCTACCTCTAATCCATCTTCTACTCCTTTTCTTAGAGCAAATTCAATAAGTCGGCTCTTCTCTTCTAAAACCTCTCGTTTGGTTCTTCTATCCGATTTTCTAACATTAAAATATTCAGTTAACTTATGACTTTCAGTAACAGGCAGTGGTTTCTTCTTATTCGATTTTTGTCTTATGATTGCTAAAAAAGATCACTGTTAGTATTTCATAAATATTCTTTCTACAAAGAGCTGCTAGAAGCTGTGGAGTCCTGCTCTATAGAGCAAGATTAAAAATTTTGAAGACTGTATAAAGAATGAGAACATTTAAAGCTATGTTAGCATCCCACTGCTAGACTATAAGCCCAAACAGCTCACTAAAATCAGATTGTGCCTCGGAATAGGAAAATTTGACAGCTAATGCGAGGAAGAGAATAACTAATTTATGGAAAGCAAAAAACATACTCCTAATTCATACTTGAAATGTAACATCTTGAACGAGAACTATCCCAAAATTTATTAAAAGCCTATAATAGGATTGTGGCAGATCACAGAATTAAAATTTGTGAGATTGGAGGGAATGTGAAGTAGTTGATTATATATGGGAATAATTAGGTAAACCAGAGATGAATGAATAATCAAAGCAGTGTAATGAGCAAAAAAGAGTAAGTTGAAAAATAAAATTATACTTTTTTCATGAAAAAAATTACAATACCCTGGAAAATAACCAATAACTTTTATGTAAACCAGGAGGTTATTGCATTGTTTATTGTAATAAATGTAATTTATGAACACATTAACCATATCAAGTGGTAGTTTATACATTTTAACACTATTTTTATTAATATTTAAATCCTTATTTTAATTTACATAAAAGAAAAACATGTACTAAAATACTACAATTTTTTTAATTATCACAGCAATAGCTAATGCATATTACATATGAGATCAGGTCTAAAGAAATATTTACTATTTTATTATTTACATAAGATTTCCGTAGATAGGGCCTACATAGTTTTCTTAAATTCTACCTCATAACAGAAGAATTTAGAAGTAATAGTTGTATATTTAGATTATCTTTGTTTAAGGATCTAACATTTACATCATGTCCTAATTGCAGTTTAATGACCAACATAACTATTTAGTGAGAATTATGTTTCTTGTAGCTAAAAAAATTTTTAAGTTAAGGTGGTACTCTCTTTATGATCTCGCTGTATTCTTTTGGATACATTATGTTATTAATTATAAAACCTACACATAAATTAAAAATTTTTATAACTAAAAAGCAAGTTAGGTGCTTGTTGTATGCCCATCCCCTTAACTTGTGCCACAACTCTTAAATTTTTTTATATATATATATGTTCTGACACATACAAACCACCTCTGATTTTAATAAATTATTTTTCATTTTGAATTAGTTATGTCAAAATATTCATATTTTTGAGGCATATATACTTGTTTTAATTCAGTTCCATTTACATTTCTTTACCATTAATTAATGGAAATATCTATGAAATTAACATTATAGTGAAACACAATGCAAGCCGAACTTGTTAGTAAGCGATTAAAAGATATTTCGCAGATCTTTCTACAAAATTGTTGTTCATCCCCTTTTATTGCACTACCAGGATAAATAATTCAAAATTAGTCATTTTGGTACATTAAAAAAATTAAAAATTCTAAATTTTGTAATATATCTCTTGATATTGTCAACGTGTGTCTTGATATCCTGAAAAACATTAAATTAATTAAGAAATAACATTGTAATAAATACCTCGAACCATCTTTTATGTAATATGTCCTTAGATACTAATAAACAACAATACCCATTACACTCTAAACTACACAAATATTAAATAAAGGGTGCCACATTCATGTAATAACTATTTTATAAAGTTTCCATTGGAAAATGGTAATATCCAAATTTGTGGGAAAATGTGGACATAAATTTGTTTGTTTTTGATTGATGTTACATGTAAACTTGTATACAATTAATGACAGTAATGACAGTTATATGGCTTGACATGGGCTTGACATTTGACTGAAAGTCAGGTTAGCCACACTTTTGTAATATCCCGCGAATATCAAAAATGATACAATAGAAATATACAAATTGTATTTTACATAATAAAATTCTGATAAAAATCTTATAATGTTGTATATGTTCCCCTATTTAATATATTCTACGATTCTATTTTTGACTGCTACTCCACCAAAATCAAAGAATCTCCTTTTTGGGAATCATACGGATTCTTCTTTACTATGAAATTTTACTTCAGAAGATGTACTGCAATGGTAAAAGCCAAAAGGCTATACTTATTTACAAATTTTGATTTGATTATGAATTGATAAATTAGTATGGACCTCAATTTACTAAAGGAAAAAATCAATATATTTTATTATTAACAATTAAAAACGCACATTGACTTTATTTTCAAAATATTTGTTACAAGATCAAGATATAAAACAAAAATACAAGATTTTAAACTAGAAATCAAAAACTTAAAGTGGCTTTCCAGTAATAATTGATTAAATTTTTCTAACCAATGATAACCGAGCATTTGAAAAGATATAAATATTATTGGTACACATGTGTCAACTGACCACATCGAGCAATAAGACAAAAGAGGGAATCTAATCGTTATAAAAAGGAGACCAAAAAAGTGGCCTCTGATGGCGGACACATCCGGAAATGCAAAGGCGCCAAATTTAAATATTTCGACACTTATCAACAGTAGCTATATAATATTTTTCAAAATGTGTCTTAGACGAGAAAGTTTTAATTAATTATTAATGATAAGAGTCTAAAATGCGACACAATTGTTAAAAAACTTCAATATAAATAAGATTTCATGTGACATTTGGGACAAACAATAACATAACCCAACTAAATTTGATGTCAAACAAGGAGAGAGACTGTCTATCCTTGTCTAAAGTGGCCTCTCAAGATGGCACTTCCTGTCTATCAATATGTTTACCCCTTCTACCTTTACATTCCCTCTTTTGTCTTATTGCTCGATGACTGACCAATACCAATTAGCGTCGGCATTTGACCAAATACTGCAAATATTTAAATGATTAAAATGTCAAAGTGACAAGGGATTGAGTGCCCTAGAATACTGTGATAATGAAAAATAAACAGTAAATTTGTTTATATATCCTTTTAAATAATTTCAACTATACTCGTTTGATATAACTTCAATTTTAATAATGGAACAAGCGGTAGAAGATTTGGAAAATAAGGTAAAAATATGGAATCTGTTTGACCTTTTCCTTAGTGAAAATTTATGTTTTCAAATTATTCGTTTTAGATGAAACAGACTGATGAACGTATGGATACTTTAGTAGTTCAAGTTAGTAACATAGAAAGTGAATTTTTTGCAGAAAATGGTGAACAAATAGAGGTAAATAATCTACTTAAATCAGTAGGGGAAGTTAGATCAAATTATCAGAATCTCCGCAAAGACCTTCTAGAAGTTCAAGACCTGCAAAAACAGTTGAGTAGTTCCTTACACCTTCAACTTAAAGTCATGCAAGCAAAATTTAATACTCTCAAAGAAAAGATTTCCCAGACTCCTGTGAAATCTGGGCAGTATTCCAAGAGTGGTAAAGATCAATGAGACAGAGAGGTATTTTCGCAGCAATTTAGCAGAATACCAGTTTGGTACAAAACTGTAGAGGACCAGCCCTTAACAGCTTTTTGCTTATTTTGTGTTGAAGTAGATCCAGATGAATTGAAAAACCCCATATATGATGGGCCCCAAATCAGGAGTAGTTTACAGCTTTAGATATTTTGTCAACCATTCATCATTTTTGGCATACAAACTGAAGCAAAATGAGCATCAAAAATAACTGTTCTAAATATTATAAATACTAAAATAGACTATTTAGAAGAATTGTACATTTTGCTCCAGAGTAAGTTTCATTTGTCTGTTGGTTTTGCACAAGGCAGTAAGTGTGTTAAAATGTATGAGACATAGGTAACAACATAAGTCTTTTAGTTAACATGTCAACAAAGTATATATACATTACCATGTACTATATAAAAGTTTATAATTTGATTAGAAGTTTTTTCCTTAAGATTTCAAATACATTGTGCAAACCCAATAGTCCCTAGTTTTTTTATTAAGTTTCAGCATAGGCGTTTATATATTTTTTGATATTTGATAACAATTACATTTTTTGTCTATGCAAATTAAGAAATAAATTATATTATACAACAATCAAAATCTATTCAATAATTTTTTATGAAAAATAATGATTGTTAATTTTTTAAATTGGTGTAATATCAACATATTCATTTGTTTTTTAACATGTAGAGTTGTACAAGTTATATTTCACAAAACATAGGGCTATATTCACATTCTTAACTCTCTCATTTGCATTCTATATGTTGTCATTTATACTGCAATATATTGGTTTTGATCAATACAATATTTTACATTAAATAGTCTATGAATTATAAATTTATAAGTAGATTACATTAGATGTATCTGGAAATGTACACTATAACGCCTAAAATCTATTATGTGCCTCTTGTGCTACTATTTTCTTTATGGATTATCAATATATATAAAATCTGCTAGTTTAGTCATTTTTTTAGTAAGATAGTACTGTGGAATTTTTGCAGCCATGATAACTTCAGAATAGATATAATTTATTTCTTCTTCTTGTCTTTATTGTCTCTTCTTGTGACTTTGTTGACCTCTGATTAAAACTTTATGCTCTAGGAGGATATTCTGGCCGCAATTTCAATTAGTTTTTGCAAACATTTCAGTCCCTGAAGGATTCAAGTCACTTGGATGATTCTTATCCCTGATTTTTTAAATCACAGTGAAATAAAGTGTGCAATATTGTGAAATAAAACTTTCATATACTAAATACTTTCATATAATAAAACATTCAGGGATTGTCCAGATTATGCTATTTTGCTTTAAATCCTCTCAAGATACACACAGTATTTTGTTTTTTCTTGTGTGCTGAGTTAGTGCCTTATTATTATATAAAGTTCATCTGAATTTCTTTTAATAGAAAAATTTATTGGAAAATCTAAAGTGATAAGGAGAAATAATGTAGTAACAAATTAGCACTACAGTAAGTAATTGTTTCAATTAATATTTAATTCAAATTATTTTGAAGAATAGCAGAAGAAAATTTAGGATCCATATTTCTTCTTCTTATATCTCCTTTTAGTTGAACCATATACTGTTATGGAAAATCCTTGACAATGATTACTTGGTAGTCAATTGTGAGTTAATTGCTGGTAGAGTTACTATTTTATTTGCTGCTTTAATTAGAAATATGTAGGCTTTTACACATTTTCATAGATAATCCTGCAGACTATACTGCATCTCACGTTTTAAATACCTTTTTAATTTGGTTTTTCAAATTCTTTACTAAAATAGAAAAATACAGACTCTTTGCAGTATACTTGACAATAAAACTGTAATGAATGATTTTATGTTAGCATGTTATTGTTTGTACTAATATGTTTGTAGACAGTGGACTGATTACTGCATGTTGTGTTGCCCATTGTATCAATAGTCCATATATTTTTGATATTAAGTAGTCTTTTAGTATAAAATAGTTTTATTTTATTCATGTTCTTGATTGATTTTGCATTGAGTTACAGACTAGAGATTTTAGTTACTCAAACTTGGAAACTTTTAGGTTTTTAAATGTCGGGTTGTGATGAAGAATCAGAATTAGAAATATGAAGCTTCTGTGTAAGCTGTAATCCTTTCTGAGTTTTATTTTAATAGTATTTTTCTCTCTAGTACATTTTTTTTTGTGTTTTTCATCCATTTTACTCCATTCTTTCCCAAGTCCACATCTTTTGTAGGTTTTTCCCTATTTTTGTGTTTCCTAAATCATATTTGTGGTCTATCTCCTCACCTTTCCTATGGTGGTATCAAGTCATTTATCTTCTTTTTTAGCTAGCTTTACATCTCTTTAAGTAATTTGGCCTGTACAGTTGTACTTCATTTGAACTGGATTTCTATAATTTTTGAATAACTCTGTAACCAATGATTTCTAGGACGACGTGTTTATATTTTCAGCATGATTCCATTCTCTTGACATTGGTCATGTTTCTAAAAGTGCAGTGTTTGTTTTTAAAGAATCCACATTTCACAACCAAGTCAGAATGGGTCAATAAACTATGTATTTGTTCCCCCATTTTTTATGATATGATATCAATAAAACTTAACTTGACACTTTTACCTTCTGATTATGCATCTACGAGGTGTGTTAAAAAATACCCGGAATTTTTAAAGTTCGCAGTTTTGGAGAGTCCAATAATCAAAAATTTTTTCATTGATGGTATACATGCTCTTAAAGTATAAAAAAATTACAGCTTTATTCATTGTTTACCTCGTTCGAGGCCGCCGCTAATGTTCGACGGTTTTTATGAGCTCCTAAGGGCTATGGTAATAATATAATGGTATAAGGCCTACAGTAAACATGCCATGAAAAAACAAGTGTTTACGAGTGGTATAAGCATTTCCAAGATGACAGTGTAACGTTGAAGATGATAACGACCCTGGACGCTCCAGCACATCAAGAACCGATTAAAACGCAAAAAAGTGACAGAAATGCTTATGAATGACTGCCGAATTACAATCAGAGAAGTCGCTGAAAAAGTTGGCAGATCACTTGGCTCATGCCATGACAATTTTTCAACCGTTTTAAGTATGAAACGAAATTTTCAGCAAAATATTTGTTAAAAAGTTGTTGAATTTTGAACAAAAACAGCGTACATTAACTAATTACACAACTAAATGATGTAAAACTCGACCCAGATTTACTCAAAAGGACTATAAACAGGTGAGAGCTACAGAACATATTCAGCACAAGTTCGATGAAAAGACATTCGTCACCATCATCACCCAGTCCTTTGATATTTGGGAAATTGGTATATCTCTTTTAAAGGTGTCTTTGAGTGTTCCGTAGGCTGTCCATGCTAGGTTTATTCTTCTTGTAGTTCGGATATTTGGTTGTCTCTTGTGATCTTTATTTCGTGTCCAAGGTATGTGTTTTTCCACCAGCTCTACTTATACCTTATATACTTATACCATTTGTGCCATTTGTCGGGTATATTACTGTCCAAAAGGCACACGTTTAAAAGATTTTTTAATTTCCTAAGTAGGCAAGTGCCTCAGATTTTGATTGCATCACTAACTACACAATCTTCGCCTGGAGATTTTTTATTCTTAGCTTTTCTTAGGGCTAGTTTTATTTCCGGTAGTAGTTCTGATCCTTGGTTCACAATTTCCATTTTCTTTGTTAATGTTTCTGGTACTTGATCTTATCTGCTATTTGCTCTGGAAAGACATTACTACAAATAAATCCGTCTACAATGGCTTGAATGTAGCCCGAACATCAGAATCAAATTTAATAAAAAGAATCACAAAGGCACAACCGGTGGGTACCAACAAATGGGGTAGACGGATAGATAGACTGGGTAACACAAGATGCTAAAAATATTGGGGTTTCCAACTGTAAAACCTAAGCTTAGAACACAACAGTATGGGACAGGAAACTCAAAAAGGTACTCTAATAGATGCAGTACTACTAATGATACTTCTGTTGAACTTGCATAACAATTTTCTTTTTTCATTAACAGGTCGCTAGACTTCGGAATAACCTCCAATCGGGAGGACCATGTATTCTATCGGGGTTATCATTTTTTCACCAAGAACGAGTTTATAGCGCTGGAAATTCGCCTTCATCCATTCTATAGCTAGTTTTTTTCTGGAATTTTTATAAAAGCCAGCTTTTATAAACCTATTCCAGAATTCTGGAACCCAGTACTAACTATTAAAGGTCTTTTTGTGTCAGGTTCTCTGCTACACATTTAGTATCATCTGTCTTCATGAACAGCCCCATCGTATGCTTGTGTCCCTAAACTGGCGCATGTCTCATCAGGGTAGGGCTTGCTACGGATCGACATTGTATATTTATACAGAGTGGCCCAAAAGTCTGGAAACTGCTAATTATCTCGTAAAATGCTACTCATAATTGTACAAAATTTGAGGTACACTTATTTTGGGATACGGAGATTCCATATTTGATATTTGCAATGTTGCCAGATTTGCCGTTTTTCTTATATTATTAGTAACTTTGGTTTTTCAAATACATCACCCTGTATATTCAGTCATTATTGGAATCTCCTATTCAATACGAGTTCAACCATATGTAACACTTATGATTTTATGTAATCTGGAAGGTCATAAATACATAAAACCGAAGTCTGGCAACGGCTAAATTGTTTCAATAAATTTTTTAATACTAACTATTTTCAAATACATTAAAACGTAACAATTGATAGTTTAGAACATTTTTTAACATAGTAGTTACGTTATTAAGTGTTTAAAATGTGCTCAATTCATGAGTTGATAGCACCCTAATCGATGGTAGAAGGCGTCTACCACATTGCTCCATGATTGTCTAGAAATTATTCGAGATTCATTGATAATTCGTTGCCTTAGCTCTGCAAGACTTGTTGGTTAAGTTTTGTGAACTGAATTTTTCAAGTATCCCTAATAAAAATAATCTTTAGGATTGAAATCGGATGAACGTGGAGGCCATTCAATTCTACCTTGTCTACCAATTTATCGTCCAGGAAATATCTCATCTAAATATCGCCGAACATTTACACCAACTATCTGACGTTAAATTTCTTTCGACAAAAAATGACCCAATTGAATAAGTAACTACTATATCTGACCATACATTTAATTTTTGTGGTCTTTGAGTATGGTTTTCACGCATTTAGTCTTCAGTGTGAATTTACGTCACACCAGTACCTTAAATTGTGTCGATTTACACTTCCACGCAGTGTAAAAGTTGCTTCATCGGAAAAACATATTCTGTTAACGAAATTTTAATAATTTTCAATTTTATCCATCATTACCTCAGTAAACTCTAATCTACGACCAAAGTCATCTTCACTTAATTCTTGCAATAAGTTAATTTTGTATGTATACATCATGTACTTGTGCAACCCTGCCTGGGGATGTATGTGGATCTTCAATTAAATTTTTTTCTTATATCTGAAGTTTTGTTGTCATTGATAACTTGTTTAGGTCAACCTGATCGGTATCTATCTTTTACTTCTCCAGATTCCTCAAATCGCC